CCATAACCAGAATTGCTCCACCACACTCCTGGTTAATTAGTTTATCTCCATCTAAATGAAATACGTGCTTACCTGAAAGTCCATCATTAAAGTTACCCTTTTAGTTTAAGACACTGTGTCTGTAAAAATCTCGTATTGTGGTACACAGTACCTGGGAGAGAGGAAACACGTAAGTCTCCATCTCTTTCTACCCTACACCTCAGGAGGCTATAGGAGTGAGATCCTCACACACCTAACACCCAGCCTGGAGGTCCAGGGAGGTCCTGCTCAGTCCCTTTTCTGCCCAAACCAGGCATTTGTCAGAGGACAGGAATTTTCTAGATCTGTTTCCTCAGCTCATAAAGCCAGGCACATAAAGCTAGGATGTTTGATAAAATTCAGAGTGATTTTCTATTGATGCAATCAAATTTTTCTTTTCTTTTTTGATCAAATATAAGGTGAGACAGCTCCAGTGGGTGCTGAATTAGGCGTTGGTATAATCAGTGTCCTGTGAGTTGTCTCACATTAAAGAGAACTTAGTACAAATTCTTTTAAAGGCACAGAAGATCTGGAAGTGAGGCTATTAAATTTTATATAAACCTGCTAATAAGTAGCTCCCACTTCTGAATCTGCTCTTCATGGTCAATGCTGGAAATGTGCAGAACCTGGAGAGTTCTTTACTTAGTCCGTGTCTTAATTAAACCATTTCATTCAACCTGTAGGTTGCACAACTCTCACTGCTCACATTTAATTTATTCTTGTTTGAGTAGTTTCTAAGAGAAGTCTACCAAATGCTAGATGTGTATCTTTCCCCCATAATTCTGGTTTGCTGAAGTCAATCATGTCAAAGCCAAATATAAAATCCTTCCAGAAACTATCTCTGACCTGGCTTTTGTAGGCATGCCATCCTGAAGTTTGCTCTGGATTCTTATATTCATTCATTCTTTCCTTGCCTGGTATGTGCCAGGACTGTGTTGGGGATATAACATAGACATCCTTACTATCCAGGTACTCACATACTAGTTGGAAGAAATAGACATATAAATACACAGCAATGATGCAGAAGTTGCAAACTGACACAAATCTATCTGGAGATGTGTTTTGTTTGTTGCACAGTAATTTTAACATTTGCTTTAGTAACCAATATTTTTTTAAGTTGGGTTTTTACATGAAAATATAGACTTAGGCTTTTCTAGAACCGATACCACCAGGCCCATACTCACAAGTGAGTGGTGCTGAGCAGCAATTGCCTCTCAGATTCTTCAGTCTCTCTTCTCTTCCTCTAAGAAGCCTCCTGGACTCCTTTCCCCCACTTCCTCTCTGGGGGTTGTTGTGAATATAAAATAAATACTAGGACAGAAGAATGTACAGGTGGGAACAAAGAAGCAATCCACCAGGCCCGCAGGACACACAGAGGTTCTAGAATGAGGCTCAGCACTGAAAAGTGGGAGGAAAGGAACCACAGGAGACAATCTGAAGAGCACATTCCAGGGCTCAGCAGGTCAAAGGTCTGAGGGAGAGAAAGCATGGTGGGCGCTGGAAACAGCGGCCGGTAATTACAGCTAGAGAAGTACAGAGAAATGTCTGGGACAGGGAGGATGTGACTGGAGAAGACAGAAGGGCCTGAAGATCCTTCAAGGATAGTTTAGACTTTATGCTGGGACCAGAAGTCCACTTAAAGTGTTTTAAGCAGAGGAATGTGGAATGTGTGATGAGGTCTGGGTTTCAGGAAGATTACTCTGACAACTGTGTGAAGAACGGGCTGAAGGGGTAAGATTGTGACAAGGAGATCTCCAAAGCCAAAGCTACATTTCAGGAGAGATGCTGGTGGCCTGCATCAGGATAGAAACAGTAAGTATAATGAGAAGGAGATTGAGTCAAGACACATTTCCGGAATAGAATCTAAAGGACTTGACAACTGTTTTTCTAGGAGGGTGAGGAAGGAGTCCAAAGTGACATCCGGGTGCAGTGCAGACTGGCAAAGATAGAACAATAGACTCCAGTGACGAAAACCAGAGTGGACCCAAATCAGGAGCCCTGGGTTTCAGCTTCGGCCTCAGCACTCACTCAGTCCCTCTGGGCTTGCACTTCATTGTAAAACGAAGGCACCACACCAGTGATCTTCATGTTCCCTTCCTGTCTTTGTAGAATGTCATTATTTCACTTCAGTGAGAAGGTGTGGAACCAGATGCAGAAATGTCAAGATTCTCATTTCACAGAACTTGAGGATTCAGGGTAAAAGGAATTTAAAAGGTTGAGTGCAACCTTTCATATATTTGAATTCATTTAGAACAAACTTGTCAGGAGTTTGTTCAATCTCTGCCTGAACGCATCAGCATGGAGAATCCCTTATCTCCTAGTGCAGCCCATTCATGTTTAGTTTTAAAACACCCTGATAGTAAGCCAAAATGAGCCCCCCTCAGAATAGCTCCAGCTTTGGTGAAGAAAAAAAAAATACTGTATTATGTTTTTTTTAAGAACCTAAAATCAAGTCCTGGCTTTGCCGCTTAGGAGAAAGACATTACCTCAAAGCCTCAGTTTCCCCAGCCATAAAAGGATTTTTATATAACCTGGAAGGATTTTTATAAAGGGAGTACTATATCTGAAAAGAATCTAACATATTCTTTCCTTCGAAGGCTTTCTATCGCTATATAGCAGCCCTGAGTCTTAATGTTGCTATTCATGCTCCAAGCCACAATCATCATTGGATGCTTGTGTCAGGGCCATGGTATTATTCAGCCTGGCGTCATGCTTCATTTTATCTCCAAGGCATGCACTCTTTTCAGGGCATCTATTGTTGTCACACAAGAGCCTACGGATGGCACGTCCTTGAGATATACACAATAGGCAAGCACACTAAGAAGTCAGCTCCCTGGAGATGATCTTTCTTCCCTCAGACCATCTACAATGATGATGACCTCCTGGAGCCAGACTGCCTGGGTTCAGATCTAGCTCTGTCATTTACTAGCTGTGTAACCTGTGCAGTTATTTGCTTCTCTGAACCTCAATGGCTTTTATCAAATGAAGAGAATAGTACCTGCTTCATAAGGTGGTTGTGAGGGTTAAATGAGTTAACTCATGTACAGGCTTAAACACTGCTAGGCACACATTAAAGTGCATTAAACCAGCCCTGGCCCATGGGCTTCAGCTGGTTGGAGCTTGTCCTGTGCACAAGGTCATGGATTCCTTTCCTTGTCAGGCCATATACCTAGATTGTGGGTTTGTTCCCCAGTTGGGGTGCATACAGGAGGCAACTGATAGATGTTTTTCTCTCACATTGATGTTTCTTTCATTCTCCCTTCCTCTCTCTAAAACCAATTAAAAATTTTCAAATAAATATATAAATAAAATAATACATTAAACCAAAAGTCCATCATGCCTGAATTCATATCCTAACTCTACTTCTGATCTTGCCATTTTTCTAATTAGATTTCCAAGTACCAAATATGATCAAGACTGGTCACATATTCAGATTCTATCACGCATTATTTAATTAATCCCATTTATTTATTTTAAAAATATATATTTTGTTTATAGAGAGGAAGGGAGAGAGGGAGAGAGTTAGAAACATCGATGAGAGAGAAACATAGACCAGCTTCCTCCTGCACACTCCCTACTGGGGATGTGCCCATAGCCAATGTACATGCCCTTGACCGGAATCGAACCCGGGACCTTTCAGTCCGCAGTCCGACGTTCTATCCACTGAGCCAAACCGGTTTTGGCTAATTAATCCCATTTAGTACTCCTTGAGGTATCACTTGTCTGTATTCTGCAGATTAGGAAACAGGAATAGGCCCTCCTAGAAATAGGGCTAAAAATGTGAAGGCTCTTGTCTATATACCCTGTGGTGGTGCAGCTCAGGTCTTTGGAATCCAGCAGGATCTGAAGGAATACGAGCTTTACTAGTTACTGTACAGTTTTCCTACCAGTGGCTTAACCTCTTCAAGTCTCACCTGGCTGTTGTGAGGATTATCTGACAGGTAAAGAACATAGCACAGGCCCTCACCCATTAACATCTCTGGAGGACTTATTGTTCTTACACCCAACTGCACCTTTAACTCACGTGCAGTTCCAACATTGGAAGTCATCAGAGATGTAGTGGGAAGTGGCTTTATTTCTTACACTGGATCCTGCTTTCCCATGATCCTGTTTCTCTTCTAAAATACAGCCCTTTTATTTTATTGTGGGTCTAAGAATAATGGCAGGCAAGATCAAGAATCCCGTTCAAGGATGGAAATGATTCATTGCTCAGCTATTCATTCAGTCCTTGGCCCAGCTATTGCCTGAGTTATGGAAGGAGCCTCCCAGGCAGATAATGATGTCGAAGGACATTCAGGAACTGTCTATGGTGAAAAAGTACAGCTGTAGAAGCTGCCTTGGAGTTGGCTCCACAGACTATTGCTTTAAGAAAAAAAGATAACGACTCATAACTGGTTCTTTGGAGGTGGCTGAAAATTGGATCTTTGTTTCACACCCGAGGAATATAAGCATATGGAGAAAATGTTGAACCTAAACCACTCAAATTTCTTTAGGGTCCAGTTGGGTGGTCTCTCAACTTTATTATAGGAAGGGATTGGGAGGCGGGGAGGAAATAGGAGATAGACTTGAAGGTTTTTGTTTTTGTTTTTCTTTTCTTTTTTTAAAATATATTTTATTGATTTTCCACAGAGAGGAAGGAAGAGGGATAGAGAGCTAGAAATGTCGATGAGTGAGAAACATCGACCAGCTGCCTCCTGCATACCCCCTGCCGGGGATGTGCCCGCAACCAATGTACATGCCCTTGACCGGAACCTGGGACCTTTCAGTCCACAGACCGACACTCTATCCACTGAGCCAAACCTGTTTCGGCGGTTTTTGTTTTCTTAATGCAAAATAATTTATCTGTGTCTGGTATCAGGTGAGACTCTAAGGGTTACTTGTTTCTCCTTATGCCTATACGCCATGTCCAGATGCCGTCCTTCTGGCTCTGGCTCACTCTGATGCCGAAGAAGGGCCTTCGAGGCTCAAAGACTGCTTGTGACTCAGCGCCTTGTGGGCTTGGGCATTATGTAAACTTTTACAGACTTGCTGAAGGGGATGGTGCCCTCAATGCTGGTTTCCGCCTGGGTCGATATCTCGCCTCCCTCCATCCAGGGGGATTTTGGAATTCGTGAGTTGGAGTTGTAGGCCAGCAGCAGCCTCACTTCCACCTGGCATGGTTCTGGAATAAAAGACACAAGAAATCTTCTATGACTGGGCATGGCTAGGAACTGGGGTGAAATGTCATGTAAAAGCAAAGATGGAAGCAGTAGGGTTTCAAGACCACTTCTTCATCTGTCCACATCCCTCCCTCCCCGCCAAACAAACACTTTCCCAACCTGCCTCCTGTGAGGCTGACCCTCAGGCTGCTGCTTTGCCACCACCTTCAGCTCGGGTCTCTGAAGGCTCCCGCACAGCTGCTGAGCATCAGAGGGCAAGCTACAAATCTCCCCCAGAGGGCGTCCAGCCTCCAGACAGGCCCACAGGGCCCACGTGGCCAATCCTCCTGCACAGCTGACCTCAGGCCGCAGGGCTGCGTGCACCACACTCCCCTGCATCAGTGGAGAGGAAGCCTTTGCTAGGAAATGGTTCTGACAAAAAATTTTCCCCAGCGAATAGGAACATGTTCTAAAATCATTTCATTAACCTTCTATTTTATGATGTGACATTCAGATACTGATCTGGTGCATGCAGGTGGCAGGCCCCGAAGAAATTAAGACATCCCTCAAGTTGCTGACCATTTGATTAAAGAGACAGGGACAGCTGCGCAGAGCACAGTACATGCTCTTAATAGTCTGTAAGAAGTATTGGGCAGGGAGCCCAGGACTGCTCTGTGCTAAGCACATAACCTTAAGAATTCTCATCCTGCCACACCATGAAATAAACTGTCATAATCCCAAAAAAGTTCCAAGGCTCTGAGAGGTTCTAAGTGACTGCCCAACTCCACACAGTGACAGAATTTGGGCCCAGCGCAAACACTGAAGCAATTAATGTTTCTGTTGCCATGTGGTTTAAATAAAGGGGGAGAGGGTTTCACAAAAACATAAGAGCAGGTTCAAAGGCTAGGAAAGGCATGGGCTTGGGATGTCTTTCTTAATTTTTTGTCTCGAGCAAAAAATACAAGTGTTAGAGATGAGCCCGAGGCTCAGAAGTTCATCTGGCAGGAATGAGGGCTGGATGGATCTAAATGAACAGCGCAGAGGTCCCAGGACTTTTCAATGACCCCAGACCGCTTCCTAACTTCTCCCTGGAAATGAAAGCAGAGACTGAACTGCCATCCTCCAGGAAAGGCTTATGGGCAGCCAGAGCAACCTGGCCAAGTCCAGAGAGCAGCACCTGAGCATCACCACTGACCAGTGTTCATGTGGTGAGGACACGCCCACATGATTACACCAGCCTGGAGTATTTATAAAACCAGCATTGCTCTCTGGTACCAGACACAGTATCAGCTCCCCCCTGTGCTTTTCTCTTTTGTCCCAGACGGCTGTTGCCAACCCCTGACCAGAACCCAGCCTTGGCTCACAGCACTTTCAGGAGCCAAACCCAGGACAAACTCTACCTGGTCATTATGCCTTCGCTTAAGACTAGGGTAAGACTAACAATTCAAGTCACTGCCATCAGAAGAAGAGGGAAAGGAGAGAAAAGAAGAGGGAGGAGACTGGGAGAAAGAGACAAAAGATCATCTGTGACAAATCATGCAACCTACTTGTCATATTCTGGAAAAATATGTCTCTTATGAGGTATCATTCTTATTCCCATCTGATAGATAAGGAAAATAAGATAGAGAGGTAAAATAACTTGCTCAGGGTCACACAGCAAGGGAGATAATTTGGAACCTGGTCTATGTGACTCAAAGCTTCTGGCCTGGGAGCACCCTGCCTCTCAGAGGTCAGGCCACTCATAGAAGCTGTGAGGAACTGGACAGAGGAGCTCCCTACCAACCCGAGAGCCATCTCCTGGATTAGAAGGAGGAGGCAGCGGTACATTCAGAATGTTTCACCTTAGTGTCCCAGGTCAGGAGCATGATATTGTAGGGGGGGGAAAAAGGGGATTTGGGAGTTAGAAAATGTGAGTGGGAGCTCAGTACCACCATGGACCAGCTAAATGGGCCTCCACTTATACACCCATAAAATGAAGAATAGAATACTACTTACCCCCAGAAAGTTGGTCTAAGGATCCAATAAATTTTAAGTGCATGTTTAAAATCCCATATTAAAATTTCATTATTTGTTGAGCACCTACTACATTAGGTATTAGGGACACTGGATATAGAAGTATTAAGGATACAGACATAAAAACAAATCAAGTTTTTTGCTCTAGAGAAACTGACATTCTAATAGGAGAGAAAGGCCGTAGAAAAATGAGAAAACATCTAACATTAGTAAGTGCTATGCAGAGAATTATAAAAGATTTATAATAGTGCTTGGGTTGCAACCTCTCAGAGGAAGTAAGTGATCCTAGATGAGGTATAATTCTTGGGGCTCAGGGTAGCCTGGATTGTAGTCCTGATTCAGACAAGGACTTGCTATATAACCAGGGGCAGGTAAGGAGGCCCCCAGGACCTTCAAGCTCCTCTGAGCTCTAGCATGCTGTGATATGCACCTCAAGCCATGGCCTTCCCACAACAAGGCTGTCCCACAGCCTTTTTCCCACATCTAGAATCTGTTCATCAGAAGGGATTAGAATAAGGAATTCTACCTTCCTGTGGGGCTAGAGGTTTGGCAACTAGTACAGAAACATCCCAGGCAGTAAGATTATGGAATGAGGGATATCAGAGATGTTTAGGGAGCCAGGTCCTGGGTGAAAGCATTGCTGGATGCTCCCTCAGGATGAGTGCCAGGCCCAGGGCCACCAGTCCCCCGAGGGGGCTGCCCTGACATTCAACAGCATTTTTCTTTGTTGAAAACTTTATATAAAGTCACCTATAAGTAGCACTTACAACCTAATACCCCTGATAGAGGGAAACCATTAATAATGGCATTCAGCCAAGACCAGTTTGGCTCAGGGGATAGAGCGTCAGCCTGCGGACTGAAGGGTCCCGGGTTTGATTCTGGTCAAGGGCATGTACATTGGTTGCAGGCACATCCCCAGTGGGGGGGGGGGGGGTGCAAGAGGCAGCTGTTGATGTTTCTCTCTCATTGATATTTCTAACTCTCTATCCTTCTCTCTTCTTCTCTGTAAAAAATCAGTAAAATATATTAAAAAGATAAATAAATAAAAAATAATGGCATTCAATAGTTACTAATGTATTTTAAAATACAGTGAAAGAAAATTCCAGAAAGCATCTAATTTCTTAAATAAACCAAACTTGGTGGCATTCAACACTTTCTCCGGTAACCGCCATGCTTCTGAACCATCTTGAATGATTTAGGAAATACCAGCAAAGCCAATTCTCCCCCACATTTTAGGTTCTGTTGACTGAATCTCCTTTTAAAGTTTCCAAAGCAGTGTTATGCTTGAAATGTAATGTCTTTGCACTTGTGTTCTCCCATCTTATTCTTACGAATTAAAAAACAAACTCTGCAAACTCCCTATCTTTTCACAAATTATCGAGGCTCTCTTCAGCCGCTGTAAGGGAGGGTAAAGCATGCCTACATTACATCATCTTACTTTGTGTTACCCCACAAACCAGCCCATGCAGGAGGAGAGGACAAGAATTGCTGCCATTTTACTTGTTTTGGGGAATGAACTGAATTGTTCAGATACAAAAAGAGAATGAATTTAAATGTCTGGTAAGAAATACAAAACTATTTAATTTCCAGATAAAGCAATCTCAGAACTAACTAGTAGACTGGGAATTATCTTTTTTATTGGAAAGATGAGGAAACATTGAGAAGGGAGAGTGGCTCATCCAAGGTTAAGCAGCAAGTCAGTGGCAGAGTTAGGACAGAAATGTAAGCCTCCTGGCATCCAGCCCAGGGCTCTTTCCATGAGACTCCATTCTACTGTAGCCTATATATCACCTGACAAAACCCTGTGCCTCTTGCAATCAAAGCAATGCAGCAAATTAGTCTAGATGTACCCGGTTCGAGATGTTAAGCTCCCTTAGAAATCAAGTACAACTCTCAGCAGGCCTGATTAAACCATGTGAAAACTCTAATGCTTAAGGGTGGATGTGATCCCCAGGAGCATATTTTTCTGCCCACGCTGGTCCACTGACTCCTCACCTGTCCAGGCAGTGTGGGAGAGATACACCTGAGTGATGAGCCGGTGCCGCCCTGGGCCAGGGTTCCGGAAGTCTGCAGGTTTGGGGTGGATCATCTGAGCCTGGCCATCGGGGTATAAGACCTAAGAGGTGACAAATATGAGAAAAAGAGGCAGCAAGAGCCATGAGCTTTTAAGAGAATTGCTGATGACATCTGTTGTGAACCCCATAACAAGAGAGATAAGAGCCCTTTCAAAAGGCTGCTCCTTGACCAGGGGGCCTCAATGCTGACATCTTTAGAGCCCCTGCCCAGCACAAAGCAGAGTTTGGTAATGTGTCCTGAGTCCATGGAGAACAAGTAAGAGGAATAAAGTGTCTCTATTAAAATGTCTTAAACAGGGAAAATATTAATTCTGATAGGAAAAGCCTTCCCAGGAACCCACCAGGATGACTCTCTCCCTCTTGGCTCTGAGTCATTCCGTGGTCCAGCATCCATCACCATCCACCCAGTATGAAGAGTAATTTTGAGGCTGTATTCTCTTCACTAGATTACAAGTAGCTTGTCTGTCTCTTTCTACAGAGACAGTACTCAGAGAAGGGATGGCTCTAATCACTGGCCAGTTTTTCAAATCTCACAAACTGCCAGCGTTCTTTCCTCAGCATCTCAGGGGGCCCCACAGCTGTCTGTGGAAAGGGCCTTTACATTCCTGCACAAGAACTAAGTGAACAAATGGAGCTTATCCTGGAACCACACAGGACCTACACTATGTGAACATACACTATGTGATAAGGGCAAAGTAGGGAACTGCACGGGTCTTTCAATTTGAAAGTAGGAGGCATGTCTCAGCTCCTGCCCCATAACCTCATTTCATATCTTCTTAGATCTCAGGTCCCCTTTGTACCTCCTTTTTTTTAAGCTTCTACTTACTATTCTATCTCCCGGCCCCAAATCAATTACAAATAAAAAGATGCAGGTATCTCAGCTTCCTGTCTCTTGGTATCTTTAAGGACAATACTTGGGCTTAATTTTTTCTTTTTTGAATTTTTATAAGATTTTATTTGCACCAAACTGAAAATTATTGGGAAACAAGATCTGAAATGCTTCCTGAGCTTCATTTTTTAAGGAGGGACAGGGAAGGACTGAAACAGTAATGAACACGGAAACAGAATGATAAAGGTAGCAGAATTTCCCAGGTTCTCAGCAAATCTGCCCTGGGTGAAAGGCCCTGACCATTCTGTGAAATGGCCACTGGAAGCCTTCATTCATCCCTCCCAAAAGCAGCTTATAATTCTGTGGCCCAGCAGGTCAAGGGAAGAAAATGGCCAGTATGAATTATATTCTGAATTTCAGAAAACCTAAAAGATAAAAAAAATCCCATCTCCGCTATCATCAGATGTAATCTAGTAGCCTGAATTGGGCTCACCGAAATGTGACTGAATGGAGTTCCTGCACATTCTGCTTCAAAGAGATGATACACATTATTGTAATAGAGAATATAGTCGTGACATAATCAGTGGTGTTCACTGCTACTACCCTAGCACCTAGGGTAGAGCTGTGCAGAGCAGGAGCATTGTCAGGCCTGATGGCTGGACTGGATAGCACTCTGCAATCAACATAATTGCCTCAGGATCAGATAGTGTTTCCCATCTCCTCGACTGCAGAGTTTGGCCATGCGTGTAATGGAGCTGCTCTGGAAGGGGTTTTCCAGTGCAGATGACCCTTATGTATCTTTCTACAATCTCATTTATGCTGAGTTGTCAGTGAATGTTTTTTTCAGGAACAATGTGAAACAGTGTACATTAGAATCACCTATGAGCTCAAAAACCAACAAAATCTGGTACCCATGGACCTACTCTTAGGATTCTGATTTACTGGTGTAGACTGAGGCCTGTACGTCAGCACTTTTTAATGCTTTCTGAATAATTCTAAAGTGCAGCTGGGGGCTCTGGTTGCATACCTCAGCTGGTTAGAGTGTGGCCCCAATACACCAAGACTGAGGTTTCTACTGCCAGCCAGTTACACATATCAATCAATTAATGCATTAATAAGTGGAACAGCAAATTGATGTTTCTCTCTCTCCTTTCCAGTCTCTCTCAAATCAATAAATAAAATAAAAATAATTTTAAAGTACAGCTAGGGTGAAAACCACTAATGTGTATATGTGTGTTAAGGAGTTGAAAGGGGGCATCCATAAAACAAAAAACCAAATGCAACACGACTTCACAGTCAGCTTAGAATTAGCTCTCTCAAGTTCTCATGATTTATAATAATTCCTGCAGGAAAGCCAGTTTTTTCCCTCTACTGACACCAGCAGCAAATATTATCACCTTTGCTGGGACCGGTTTGGCTCAATGGATAGAGCGTTGGCTTGGGGATTGAAGGGTCCCGGGTTCGATTCCAGTCAAGGGCATGTACCTTGGTTGCGGGCACATCTCCAGTAGGGGGTGTGCAAGAGGCAGCTGATCTATGACTCTCTCTCATCGATGTTTCTAACTCTCTATCTCTCTCCCTTCCTCTCTGTACAAAATTAATAAAATATATATATTTTTAAAAATATTATCACCTTTAAGGCCTGAGTGATCCTTAACTTTTCCCTGCCTGCTCCAGGGTATATTTCTGTCCTCTGATTACATTTGCTGTGTTTGTTTCTTCATATCCCTCCTATCCAGAATTCCTCTTTTTGCTCTTCTCCTTTGCTTTTACTCATCCTTTCAGACCTTACATCTCCACAAAGCCTTTTTTCCTCCGCCTCCACCACACACTCCAAATTAAGAGCCTCTCCAGAGTATTTTTAAAAAAATTTTTTAGGTATATTGCAAAAATTTTATACATCAAAAACTGAATAACACTGTAGGGGAGGATAAGTAATTTTCTCTCTATACTTCTAGGTTCTTGGCTAGAACCAATTGTCTATCTCTTCTTGAAATTGAGCATCTTGAAGGCAGGAGTACTGACATAATTACCTTTGTAACACTAGCACTTAGCATGTACAATAGAGTAAACATTATTGCATGGAAAGAAGGAAGAATGGGTGATGGATAAATGGGTACTGCTCTTTATGGGGCTTAATTGCAGACTGTCTAAACTTATTAGTATCTCTAATACATTTCTTATATCTCTAATATATCTATCTCTAACTTGGAAAAAAATATTCCCTACTGACTGCATCACCACATTTCAATGTCAAATATTCCTGTCTGTTAGCTGTAGAATCTGAGGTGCAGCATTCAAGGTAACTTGCACCAGACTACACTCAGAAGTAAGTTGGGATTCAAGCCCAGGCTCTTTTTCAAAAAGACTCCTCTCTTCTTCCTCCCCAGTTTCCATCCTCAGGCAGAGATGAAAGGGGTGCTAAAGTTATTATTTTTTAAAATATATTTTTTAAAATATATTTTATTATTTTTAAAATATATTTAAAATATATTTAAAATATATATTTAAAATATAACTTTAGCTGGTTTGGCTCAGTTGATAAGAGTATCTAAAGGGTCCTGGGTTCAATTCAGGTCAAGGCACATGCTTGGGTTGTGGGTTCGATCCCTAATACGGGGTGTGCAGGAGGTAAATTATTGATGATTCTCTCATCGTTGATGTTTCTATTACTCTCTCCCTATTGCGCTTAGAGAAAGGGAGAGGAGAGAGAGAGAGAAACATCAACGCCGAGAGAGAATCATCGATTGGCTGCTTCCTGCAGGCCCCTCAATGGGAATTAAGCCTGAAACTCAGGCACGTGTTCTGATTGGGAATCAAATCCATGACCTCCTGGCTCACAAGTCAATACTCAACCACTGAGCCACACAGGCCAAGCAAAGAGGTGCTAAAATTAAATGTTTTGTCACAGTCAATATAGAAGCTCTGTGGGAAACAAACGCTGACAGACCTGGACCTTCACAGTGCTCTGAGGATCCTGCACATGTTCCAGAGTTGCATCAACATCCAGGGCCACCACTAACCCCGATGTAAACCGCAAAGGGTTGTCTGACTCGCCGGCTGGCTCAATAATGGTGGCTGAGGCTTTGTGGATCTGTAAACAAGAGGAAAACATGATGATTCTAAAGCCAGGTGATGCCTGGGTAACAAAAAATATGCTTGCTTTTCTGTCTCCTTATCTAATGGGTGGGCATGTGGGAGCCAATCAGAAGAAAGGCCCTCGCCCCGTGGTCCAAACATGAAAGCTCATCACGGCGAGCAGCTCTGACTTTCTGGCCAGACTTCGCCTAAAGGGCTATAACACAGGCCCTGACCTGCTCTGGAAGCGGGAGGTGCAGGAAGGTACTCTGCCGCAGCATGGTCTGTAGGATTTTGACCACTTCTGCAGGTTTGGATGTTATGAGTCGGGGCATAAGGTCAAGAAGTTTGTCCACAAAGCTGTCTTGCAAGTGGGGCAAATCAGCGATGAAACACCTGGAGGAACAAACAGAACAAATGAATATGCATTCATTTTGCAAGAGGCTGAGCCCCAAATATCTGCCAAGCCCCAAAGTAATGAACTGGAGGAGCTCATGGTTCCCAACTGAGACAGCCAACTAATTATACCCTACTGACATGGTCCTCATAACAGCCGCATTTATGAATAACCCATTATATGCCAGGTTACTCCTAAGTATTTTACATTATCTTACTTAATCTTCCCAGCAATCCTGTGCACTGTTAGAATTATTTTTTGATGTTATAGATTTATTAATTAATTTAATAAATATGTCTTTAGAATTTATCAAATGCCAAGTACTATTCTAGACATAGGACATAACAGTGAATGAAAAGGAAGAAAAAGGCTATCTTAATAAGCTTATATTCAAGGGATAGGAACATTTAGACTCAGAGGATATTTCATTGAGGCTTAAAAAAGTTAAATAATGTATTCCAAGCTTTGACTGATTCCACAATCCTTACACTTTTTGGAAGGCTTAGTAAAAAAATTAAATAGCCGAAACCGGTTTGGCTCAATGGATAGAGCGTCAGCCTGAGGCTTGAAAGGTCCCTGGTTCGATTCCGGTCAAGAGCATGTACCTTGGCTGCGGGCACATCCTCGGTGGGGGGGTGTGCAAGAGGCAGCTGATCGATGATTCTCTCTCATCGATGTATCTAACTCTCTATCCTCTCTCTTCTTCTCTGTGAAAAATCAATAAAATATATATTTTTAAAAAATTAAATAAATTAAATAAATCATTGAGGAGGTGACATCAGTAAAGGGACTCACAGGCTAACTTAAGAAAAATTTACAGCTCTAAACAAATGAGGAGCTTTAGCAATTGTCCACCTTTCCAAAAAGCTCTTCAATCCAACTATGCAAAAACAGACTACCTTAGACAACCTAAAACCAACAGGCATGAACTTAGTTCAGATTAGAAGATAGAATCTTAGAGCCAACTTTAACTTCATTTGCTGGAGAACAGCACCTATGGGTGAAGGGTGATATAGCAACCCAGCCCTATAGGAAGCTATCATCACCCAAATGAAAAAAGAATTGGACAGTTCAATCATAAACTTCAGGTTTGGTAAAGTTCATGGTGATAGGGATAAGGGATGGCAGAATGAGTCATCAGATTTAATGGAGTGCTTTCCAACCCTATAAATGCCTCCCTCCTGGTATTATATTGACAGTACACTACAGATTTGGTCACTACTTGAACTCCCACTCATCTACTGCATCTGTTTTAACTAATTTGTATTATACAGAACTGAGAACACTATTCTCCAAAATAAAAGTTATTTTTATTTTGGAATAAGTCTTGCAGATTATAAAGAAATATGCAAGTGTAAACAATGGTTTAAGAACAGACAAGTTGTGACTTTTCAACAAGAGTGAGTTTTCCCACATAGTTCTTGTCTTTTTATGGTCCAGCTGAGTGCTGAATACAAATGATTCTGGATGTTTTCATTATTCTAATATTGTACAGTTAGGTTTGAAGCTATGATTAAAGAGGCTTATATACCACTAAAGAAAATACACTAATGAGGGTACATTGGCACAGATAATAGTTCGACTGCATGTGCTAAACCAAGAATTTGGGCTTGTAATCGCTCTTGTTGCTCTATAAATGATATTCTTTGCATATCTAATATTTAATTAACTAGAAGAGTGGCAATATACTTACCTCTGAAAAAAATCCACTTCCTGTAAAAACTTTTCACACATCCCAAATAGGAGGTCAACTCTGGATAAAAGGAAAAAAAAGTTATTTGCTTGTGAAATGTATGAACTGAAGAGTGAGGACCAAAGCCCAAGAATTCTGAGTCTACATCAAAGGAGAATGAGCATATAAAAATTTAACACTATAAAAATTTATCTCTAAGAGGCCAGGACCGGTTTGGCTCAGTGGATAGAGCGTCGGCCTGCGGACTGAAAGGTCCCGGGTTCGATTCCGGTCAAGGGCATGTATCTTGGTTGCGGGCACATCCCCAGTGGGGGGTGTGCAAGAGGCAGCTGGTCGGTGTTTCTCTCTCATCGACGTTTCTAACTCTCTGTCCCTCTCAATTCCTCTCTGTGTAAAATCAATAAAAATATATTTAAAAAAAAAAAAAAAAAAAAAAAAAATTTATCTCTAAGAGAATACAGGACTGCTAATGGACCTAGGGGGAATATATGCCAGGATCACAAGACCCAACTAAAACACTGCAGTGTCCATTAGGCTCAATGACATTCAAAATCAAAGACTCTCACAGGCCACCCCTGGCACCAGACTCACTAAGAAGATAGCGCAGGAGCACAGCGTGCAGGCGGTGTGTGTCATGGTCCTCCTCGGTGGGAGTCCTTGCAGCAATACACTCAGCAGCCCACAAAGCTGCTGGGAACTTTGACTCTGCAGCTGCCAGGTTGAGTGCAAAACGAGATCTATATCAGGCAAGTGTGGAGACCATCCTGGCTTAGAAGCCTAATGCTCCACAGGTGCTAACATCCCACACACTATGGGAGAACAGACAGGAATTCCTTCCAGGGTCCCCATTAGGGGTATGCTCAGTTACAAGAATCGCTGTACTCAATGAAGTCCAAAGCTATGGGGTCTGCATCATTATTGTTCCTTCTAGTCTACCTGCAATTTTCTCAGAGATCATTTTTCCCATAACAGTGTTACCTAGTAATATAGTTGACACTACCAGATTTCCAGGGAACAGACCTAGAAAGTTAACTAAAGGTCAAATTCTCATGCAATAAGGGGGAAAGGTTTTGTTACTTTAGTCTTTCTACTAAAATGTAAGTTCCATGATATGTTTCCTGACATAAGCAGTTATTCAATAAATATTTGTTGAATGAATGAATGAATAAATAAATGATAAATGGCAAATGGGAAACTTACTCTACACGCAACATTTATTTAAATTGTTTCCTAAACAGGTAGCACTTGAAACCTTCTTAAGTCTGCTGAACTACCAGAGTGGAAGTGAAATTGATAGGTTAACCCACCAAAGACCTCCAGGTGAGAAAAGGGGGATGGCAGAATTCTAGCTAAGCAGGGGCTGAAAAGAAAACAATTTTGCCAAGCAGGGCCATTTTCTGGCCTACTTCTATAAAACCAGCTGGAAGAGCTTACAAGCAGTAAAAAACAAAGGTTTAGAAACTTTCCCCAAAACAGACAGGTAGGTTAACCTACATACTACATAAGGTGGGCCTCACCCTAGTTGGTTTGGTTCAGTGAATAAGTCTATTCACTATGGCCTGAGGACTGAAGGGTCCTGGGTTTGATTCAGGTCAAGGGCACATACTTCAGTTGCAAACTCAATCCCCAGCCCTGGTCAGGGTGGGTGCAGGAAGCAACCAATCGATGTGTCTCTTTCTCTGTTCCTATCTCTCCCTTCCACTCTCTCTAAAAAGTCAATGAAAAAGTATCTTGAGATGAGGATTAACAAAAATAAAATAAAGTGGGCATCTACCACTTAGAATATTGAGAAGGAACACATACCAAGCCATATCCTGGTGAAATTTCTGAACTCCTACTTTTTCCTTGATGTGAGAAAGGAAAGCAGTGGAAAAGTGAGGCCCATTCAGGGAAATTGAACATTGATTTACAACTGTGGGAAAGCTACACCAATTAACAACTTAAACTAGTCTAGACTTTCATGTATAAAGTATGCAAAGACAATGGAAAATTATTAAATGTTATGAGGATAATCAGGAGTTGAAAAGGAGATCAAGCAGACCTCAGTGAGATGAAGTCAGGAAAGAAAACACAGAAACCTTTAAAAAAAATTTGAATACCTAACCATTGTGAACTTTAAGAGGAAATCTGAAGGTATGCTGCATTAATAAACCAAGAGAAACTGCTACAAAAAAAGGCAAAGAGAATAAAGCACACTTGCAAATAACCAGTTCAGCAACCCTCCTTATCCACATTTTCATTTTCTACAGTTTCAATTACCTGTGGACAACAGTAGTCTGAAAATATTAAATGGAAAATTCCAGAAATAAACAATTCATAAATGTCAAAATTCATACCACTCTGGGCAGCATGATAAAACCTCACATCATCTCACCAGCAGCATGAATCACCCCTCTGTCCAGCGTACCCACACTGTATATTGTATGCACTCATTTGTCACTTAGTGGCCATCTGAGCACAGTGCTTATGCTCAAGTAATTTTTATTTTAAGTGACCCCAAAGCACAAGAGCAGTGATGTTGCAATGTGAATATGTCAAAAAGAAGTTGTACAGTGCTTAAGTGAAAAGGAATGTATGTATGGGAGAAAACATAGTGTATGTCAGGTTCAATACTATCTATGGTTTTTAGATACCCACTGGGGGTCCTAGATCGTATTCCCTGCAGATAAGGGAGGACTACTGCAATAATGAAACCAACAGGAAAAGAATACTAGAAGGAAAAATGATGATAACTGAAATGGTAAATTAAAAAAGCATAGTGAGCAATTTACTCAGAATACAGAGTAAAGCAAACAAAAAATATGAAAGAAAGATAAAATACAGGAAAATAGATCCAGAAGATGCAACATCCAGTATGAGGCTGGATTGGATGGAAAAAGCAATAAGTAAAGAAATAATGGATGGGGTGAAAACCCTGATCTAAAAACAGGGTTGAGACTTCAAAGTCCCAATAAAGGTTAGTAAGAATACTGAAAAGAAACACATACCGAGACATATCCTGGTGAAATTTCTGAATTCTAAAGAGAAAAAGAAAAGTTTACAGCTTTGAGACAGGAAAAATAAGCTTCCTACAAAGGAAAAAGAATCAGACTGACATTAGACATCCTGGCTGCCACATTAAATACTAAAAGGCAACAATCAATATTTACAGAGTTCTGAAAGAATTCCATCCTATATAATAAAAGGGTAACATGCAAATTGACCCTAATGGTAGATTGACTAGGAACGACCAGTCGCTATGATGCACACTGGCCATCAGGTGGCAGATGCTCAACCTCCACTCAGCCACGAGCCGGGTTGACAGCTGAGAGTGCAGCAGTGATGGCCTCTGAAGTATTAAGGATGTCCAACTGCAGCTTAGACCCGCTCCCAGCCTAAGCTGCAGTCAGATGTCCCCTGAGGGCTCCCTGGCTGCCAGAGGGATATCTGACTGCCAGCTTAGGCCTGATCCCCTGGAGAGCAGGCCTAAGCCAGCAGGTGGACATATCCTGAGGGGTGCTGGACTATGAGAGGGCACAGGCTGTGCTGAGGGACCCCTTCTTCCCCCCCTCTCCCCCCCACCAAATGCACGAATTCTCATGCACCGGGCCTCTAGTTTATATGTAAGAGCAAAGAAAAGCAGTTTCAGACATGCAACATCTCACTGAGTATACTACTTATATACTTACTCTGAAAAACACTACTAGAAAATGTGTTCCAGCCAAATAAATAGTGAATGAGAACAAGAAATTTAAAAAGTCAAATGTGGTACAAAAAAAAACAGTGGTGGGCAAATTGGGGTGAATAATCTTGATAACTTATGTATAAAAATTAATGCATATTTTAAGAAAGAATTCTTAAAATAAGAGCTACATTATCTATATATATAAAAGGCTAATATGCCAAGTGCCGGTCTGGCCAGTAGCTATGATGCACACTGACCATCAAGGAGCAGATGCTCAATGCAGGAGCTGCCAAGCTGCAGCGACTTGGCAGTGGCGGTTCTTGGGTGACGCACCAGGAAACCAGGGAAGAGGGAACCCAACTCCTCACAGGGGCACGCTATTCCACCTTTGTTTGTGGGCTATGTTGTTTGTGGGGCACTTTCGGCCCCAATTTGGTTTACTGCACCCTTGCATTTGTGTTCCACACCCTGTATGTCAGCAACTTTGAACCTCTCGCACTCTGGGACCCCTTGGGGGATGTTGGTGAGACGATTTCGATCCGATTCCCACAGGCCAGGCCAAGGGACCCCACCTGCCGGAGGGACCCCCTCACTCCGCAGACACCCTGTGAGCCATGGCACCACCCCAGGTGTGGCTAGCTGGGGAGGGACTGTGGGAGGTTGGCTCCAGGATGTGTCTGGCCCGTCTCACCCAGTCCTGCCCCACCAGCTGCCTTCTAATTAATTTCCTTTCAACATTCACGAATATGTGCACCAGGCCACTAGTAAAAACATAATAAGCTGAAACCAAATTCCAAATTAAATAATATGAGACAATTAAATAAAAGCACACTAAAACTTTCATTTTGGTTTAAGGTGATCTTGATGGAGGTGCTCATAAGTTCTATTTGTTTTATGCCAATAAGTATAAGTTCACTAGATTTATTAAAGATATAATAGTGAAAATAGTATTTATACAACTAATATGAGCTTTTATTAGTGTTTACTTTGAATGTATAGGAAGTATTTTAAGGGCTTTATATATAAAATTCAATAATCCTTATAATAACCCTCTGAGAGAGAGGCAAGTACTATTATTTCCCAGTCTAATTTATCAGAGGAACAAAGTGAGGCACAGTTTTATGTAATTTATCCAAGGTCACTACGTTTGCAAGTGGTGGAGTCAATATCTGAACCCATTCAGTAAGGTACCATAGCCTCTTAAGCACTATGTTCTGCCTTTCACTTAGGTTATAGTTAGGGCACAGAATTTTTAAACCCCTGGAAGAAGAAGAAAACAAAGAAAATAATTGATCCACAAAAATTAATTAAGAAAAATAGGCCCTAACTGGTTTGGCTCACTGGATAGGACATTGGGTCCCAGATTCAATTCCAGTCAAGGACATATACCTTGCTTGTGGGCACATCCCCAGTATGGGGTGTGCAGGAGGCAGCTGATTAGTATTTCTCTCTCATGGATGTTTTTAACTCTCTATCCCTCTCCCTTCTTCTCTGTAAAAATAAATAAAAATAAATAAATAAAAAGCAATCCTATATAATAAAGAGGTAATATGCAAATTGACCATCACTCTAACACAAAAGATGGCTGCCACCGAGGACCAGCAGGGGAGGGCAGTTGTGGGCAATCAGGCCAGCATGGGAGGGCAGTTGGGGGCAATCAGGCCTGCAGGGGAGGGCAGTTTGGGGGGTAGAGGGGCTCTGTAGGGGAAGACAGGGATGACCAGGCCAGCAGGGGAGGGCAGTTGGGAGCAACCAGGCCTGCAGGGGAGGACAGTTGGGAGTGACCAGGCCTGCAGAGAAGAGCAGTTGGAAGTGACCAGGCCTGCAGGGGAGGGCAGTTGGGGGGAGGGACCAGGCTGGCAGGGGACGCAGTTGGGGGTGACCAAGCTGGCAGGGGACGCAGTTAGGGGAAATCAGACTGGCAGGCAGAGGTAGTAGGGGTGATTAGGCTGGCGTGGGTAGGGGGGGCAGATAGGGGCAATCAGGCAGGCAGGCAGGCAAGTGAGCAGTTAGGAGCCAGCAGTCGCACATTGTGAGAGGGATGTCCAACTGCCAGTTTCAGCTCAATCCCAGTGATCAGGCTGAAACCGGCAGTTGGACATCCCCCGAGGGGTCCTGATTGGAGAGGGTCCAGGCTGGGCTGAGGGGGAATTCCCCCGCCATGCACGAATTTCGTGTACCTGGTCTCTAGTCAAGATGAAAGAGAATCATTGGCTGCCTTTTGCACACCCTACAATGGGGACTAAGCCACCAACCCAAGCATGTGCCCTGACCTGGAATCAAATTGTGACCTCCTGGTTCACAGATCAACGCTCAACCACTGAACTATGCCAGCTGGGCTCCAATTCATTCTTCATAGAACCCCCATGAGATCGATGCTGTCATCATTCTCATTTTACAGACAAAAATATGAGCCAACAGTTTAAAACTCTGACTGTAATCAAACAACTAATAAGTGGAGAGGTCAGGAATTGACTGCCTTGGAGAGAATTTATTAATCCCGTTAGAAGAGGAAAGAATGGTTCCTGGTACTAAATTTTAAAAGAAATCTATCAAACCTAAGCCATTTTGGCTCAGTGGGTAGAGTGTCAGCCTGCGGACTGAAGGATCCCAGGTTCAATTCCGGCCAGGAGCATATACTGCAGTTGCAGGCTCAATTCCCAGCCCGTCAGGGGACGTACGTGCAGAAACATCATATTGATGTTTCTCTCTGTCTGTCTCTCCCCCTTCCTTCCCCTCTCTCTAAAAATCAATGGGAAAATATCCTTGGTTGAAGATTATCCAAACAAACAAACAAAAAGAAATCTATCAAGAACGATATAAATATTTCCAGATGAAGTCCTATGTTGTGCTGTAGGCAATAAAGGTTTTTCCAGGTATCTAATATAATCTGAGAACAAAACTTGGGATATCTGGAAAATTGTATTAATATCCCTTAGCTAATCTTTCCTAAATATCATTTTACTTATCATTAACTATGGTGAGATCTCTGAATGTCTTTGAAAGGATCATACCACCCCTTTAGGCTAGGTGCACATCTTACCCTCGAGTAGTTCGTGCTGTTACTATAAGTTGCAAGGCTTTGGCCTGCAGCCTCATATGATGTATAATCACCACCTGCTTATTCTCCACACCACTGTACATGAACTCCATTTTGTAGGTCTCTTCCATGATCTATAAAGAAAAGGTAGTTAATGATCAGTGAAAATATCAAGTCTTGTACTACCTGGTTTGGCTCAGTGGATAGAGCATCAGCCTGCAGACGGAAGGGTTACAGTTTGATTCAGATCAAGGGTATGTACCTTGTTTGCAAACTCCTCCTGGGCCTGGGCCCTGGTCGGAGTTTGTGCAGGAGGCAACCAATCAATGTGTTTCTCTCACATCAATGTTTCTGTCTTTCCCTCTCTCTTCCACTCTAAAAATCAATGGAAAAATATCCTTGGGTGAGGATTAACACACACACACACACACACACACACACACACACACACACACACTCTCTATCAAGTCTTCCTTGAGAACAGCACAGAATTGCAGGTGAATCTCTAAACTGAGGGGTTTTTTTTAATACCTATATTTTAATTCTGAACTGACATTTTTAAGTGTCTATGTTGAGAGAAATTAACATAATTTGAGAGAAATTAATGTGTTGAAAGAACTGTATAGTACGTCTTTTAAATTTTTCAATTGAAAAACAAAAGACAGTTCTGGTAATAAAATCATCTTGGTTGATGATGTGAAGATATGAAAGTTTAAACATAGATAAAATTATAAAGCACTATTTGTTACCTTAAAGCCAAACTCACTGTGCGGTGAGGCAAAATGAATATATGATGTATATGAAAACCCAATCCCCAAGAAAAGCTCTCAAGAATTTAGCATCAAGAACCATGAGCCACCTGTTAGTCATCCAGACAAACTGTCCTACAGGCATGGAGTTTGGGATAAGTGCAGCAAACAACATCTACGACCTCAGCTCAGGCCCAATGCATCTTAAACTCTTGCTCCATTCTAGCCAAACCAGCAACTTCCACCCAAATGATGCTTCTTTTCCCCTTCTGTGCTCACCTTCCTTTGAAGGTTTTGGGGTCAGAAAAATTACTCCAGGCTCACCTATGACTAAAAGGAAGACAAGATGTTTAATTTAAACATCAGTTTCCCTATCTGTACATAGGGAAGAAATAGGACCAATATTATAAAATGTAAAGGATTAAATGGGGCATGGAAAGACCTTAACACAGTATCTGGTACACAAAATTATAATTATTTTTCCCTCTTTATTCTAGATTCCCGCTCCCTGGTCCCCTCCCTCCCACCATGGTCCATTCTGGCACTCTAATCATTAAGTTCTACTCCCCTACAATAACTGCATAGCAGGTTTGAGAGGAAGTCTAGATCAGGCTAGAGGAAGTCTGGAATAAGAGTAGTAGAAAGAAAATGGACTCTGGGTATCAGAGGCTCTGGACTCAAAACCCAGACTATTGCCTATAGCTCTATGAATTTAACCTTGCTGAGCCTTAACTTTTTCCCCCATAAAATGAGTTTAATACTCATTCCTGTCTAATGAAATTATTGTGAAGCTTAATTAAAATAAACTTGAAATTATTTAGTGAATTGTAATGTAGCTTTCTAATTGGTCACAATCTCTCAGTTATGTACAGTTCACTATCCAGAAGAGTTCACCAAATTCCAATACCTAATAATGAAGGAAAATTGCTCAAAGCTAGAAAGAAATATACTCAAAGCAAATAAAATGAAATGCTACTTAATGAATGGAGTAGAAACATAAGAACCTTTTAACATTCAAAGATGGTACAGCTAAAAATATAAATAACCTGAAAATGAGTTCATCTTCATTTTCAGATAAAAGACTCATGATAGTTTTTATTAGATTTTAGTATATCTGAAATACTAACTGATAATATTTTAGAACACAAAAGAATCTTAGAAATATCTCACTGAATGGCCATATTTTATTTTATTATTATTATTTTATTTTTATTATTTTTATTATTATTGACATGTTAATTCCTTTATTTTCATAACCACTCAGGCTGCCTGTGTCCCTGGCGGATGGAGGCAGCACGGAAAGCAGATATCCCACTGGTTTCCCATGAACAGAGGTTAGACATTTAATGCAGACCAAAGCCAGACACTGGTAGGAGGTGGTCTTTACTTCCATTACAGGTTCTCTTCGTGAATCTGTAGAAACACATGCCACGGGAGGAACCAAACTTAACGATTACACACAGACCCCCTAGAGGGGCAGGAAAAGCTGACCCATCGTGCTGGGCTCAGTGCAGGTAGAATTAAGCAGGTACAAGGGACACAGGAAAGCACGCCTAACCAATCGCTCCAAGTTGGTCTGATTGTTTCCATGACCACAGTGACCCCGGAGCTATCCCCAGTGAGTGCCAGCGGAGCAGCAGTCTGGCCACACAGCCCAGAGCTCGGCAGGGCCGACTCACACCCACAGAATGCATGGGACACAGCGCAGGCAGAGCTGCTGGCAAAGAACAATGGGTGCGAGCGCGGCTCTGAGCTTCCAGACCTGACATTGAAAACGAAGTGCAGCTGCTGCGGATGTGGGGAGCAAGTCAGGGAGGCCCGACGCCCCAGTGCTCCCACCAGTGCTGGAGGGCACCCTGAAACTATGACCCAGAACAACAGCCTATAAGGACTGGCTAACATGGGCTCCAACAGCCAGCACTGGGTCAGACCCCAGTCGCCATTGGTGGGCAGGCGGGAGGGCTCACTGCTCTGGCACCCGACTGTCCTCTGACCCCACTATAAGTGAGTCCACTGCATGGGTTTTTAATTATCGGGCAACAGACCTGCCCAGGCTCCTCTCTACTTCTGTGTTCAGAGCTATTCTGACACCTGCCTAGTCACAGCTGTTTATATCAAGTTACCACATCAGTGGCTGAGGGAGCGGCTTTCTAGAGTTCAAGACACGCTGCAGCATGACACTTGTGAAAGGTGACACAGGGAGCATTGTTAGTCATTAGACTTGGACCAACACATCACCATCAAGGCACTTCAGAGCTTAGGGAACTGTGTTTGTTTGTTTTATTTTTTGCTTCTTGACAGGCAAGCTGGGGTCCTCGGAGAGAATTTACAGAGACAAGTGCACCTCTCAGCAGAGGGAACAGCACTTCTCGCACTGACAGACTTGGACCTGGCTGGCTCTCTCAGGCACTAGAAACGTCTAAGTGCTAGTCACAGGGGAGTGAGAGGCCCTCTCACTACCTGGCCCCCAAGTACGATCGGACGATGCCAGTGGCTGATGGCTACCTTCCTCAGCGAGCTGGTGAGTGCCTGCCCACCTCTGTGAGGCAGCACTGGGCATGTGAGCAGGCCTGCCCGTGGGCAGTGCCAGTGCCAGGAGCAGTGCACTACATTCTGCATCCAGACACGTTCACGTAGGTCTAGAAACCTGACGTGGCAGCTAGTCTCCAATCATTATCCTGCAAAGGTTTGGGCGTTTCGTTTCTCTTTTATGTTTTTAAAGGATGAATGGCCATATTTTAGAGAGGAGAAAAAAACCAGGGAGGTTAAACAATTTGGTCAATATCACCCAGCAAATTAGAGGCATTCCTGGGTCTAGAAGGTCCCTTGACTGTAAAGCCAGTGCTGTGACCCCTAATTAAGTACGCTGCTTCTATCACTAACTTCTGTCATTAACATGCTGACACTGCAGAGACCACATCAGATCTGTGGAGCCAAGATAAAGTGAGAAAGCCTCTGGCTCTACCTTGAATGAGGTAATTCCTGGACAGAGATCTACTGAAGAGAAGGTCTTAATTAGCTTACCTGTTTTGCTGCTGCTGAGGCCAAATCACTCTGCTTCAAATACAAAGGGGCGGCCACATTCCACAGCTTTTCTTGTAAGGCCTACCCATAAATCAGGAGAAAAAAAACAAACACAGAGATCACAAAGACTGGCATATTATTTGAGAATGACATGTTTATTTCGCTTTGAAAATCTGTCATAATCAGGACTTCCTCTCAGTCTTGTTTTTCAGGAGGGAAGGGAGAGGAGAGAAACAGAAACAACAATGATGAAAGAGAATCATTGATCGGCTGCCTCTTGTACTACTGGGGATCGAATCCTGACATCCTGATTCATACATTGACATTAAACCATTGAGCAATTCCGGTCTTATTCTTTTAAGCCAATCAGCCCTACTTATGGACAGAGAGGAAACCAATGGTTTGAGCTAAGTGAATTCCTCCCTATTCAATCCAATTTCTAGCCCAAAGGCTGGCCCAGGGCTTGCAAGCAGAGTACAGGAGCCATGAAGGTCTCACCAGAACGTCTGGGCAAGCCAGCTTCCAAGGCTCTGGGCCCTTCTTGTTCCCAGAGCCAATGTTCCCTGACTGCCTAAACCCTTCTTGTTTGGCTGTGGTTCTTTTTTCTTTGCCCCACAGTCACTGCTCTTTGAACAGCCCCATCATCTTACCGGCACAGCTTTCCTAGTTTACAACCTCGCTCAAGCTTTTTATTCAAAACTAACATGTAAAGAAACAGATGTCACCTTCTATCTCTCTTCCATCCACATGGCCCATTTCTCTAAATCTCTGCTATAGTCTCTAATTTCCACAGTCCTTTTTTTTTTATTTAATATTTTATTGATTTTTTACAGAGAGGAAGAGAGAGATATAGAGAGCTAGAAATGTCGATGAGAGAGAAACATTGACCAGCTGCCTCCTGCACACTCCCTACTGGGGATGTGCCCGCAACTCAGGTACATGCCCTTGACCGGAATCGAACCCAGAACCCTCCAGTTCGCAGACGATGCTCTACCACTGAGCCAAACCGGTTTCGGCTCCACAGTACTTCTTAATTATAACATAATCAAATGACATTCAAAGAACTTAGACTAACATTGTCTAATGGAAACACATATAATAGTAAGCCACATATGTAATTTTATATTTTTTAGTAGTCACATTTTTAAAAGTAAAAAGGAATAGGTGCCGAAACTGGTTTGGCTCAGTGGATAGAGCGTCGGCCTGCGGACTGAAAGGTCCCAGGTTCGATTCCGGTCAAGGGCATGTACTTTGGTTGTGGGCACATCCCTGGTAGGGAGTGTGCAAGAGGCAGCTGATCAATGATTCTCTTTCATTGATGTTTCTAACTCTCTATCCCTCTCTATTACTCTCTGTAAAAAATCAATAAGATATATTTTTTTTAAAGGAATAGGTAAGCCGAAACCGATTTGGCTCAGTGGTAGAGCGTCGGTCTGCGGATTGAGGGGTCCCGGGTTCGGTTCCGGTCAAGGGCATGTACATTGGTTGCGGGCACATCCCCGGTGGGGGGGTGTGCAGGAGGCGGCTGGTCGATGTTTCTCTCTCATCGACGTTTCTGGCTCTCTATCCCTCTCCCTTCCTCTCTGTAAAAAATCAATAAAATATATTTAAAAAAAAAAAGGAATAGGTAAAATTAATTTTAACAATATTAATTTTATTTAGTGCAGTATATATCACCAAGATAACACCTTTTCACTATGCCATCAATCTTTTAAAGATTACTAAAACAGCTTACATGCTTTTTTCACACAAAGTCTAAGAAATTCAGAGTGAATTTTGCACTTACAGCTCATCTCAATTTGAACAAACAAAATTTCAAGTGCTCAATAGTCACATGTACCTGGTGACCATCATATTAAATAGGTCTAGACTAAAGATATAGAAATCTTTAAATCAGCTAGGACCGGTTTGGCTCAGTGGATAGAGCGTCAGCCTGCGTACTGAAACATCCGGGTTCGATTCCGGGCAAGGGCATGTATTTTGGTTGCGGGCACATCTCCAGTAGGGAGTGTACAAGAGGCAGATCCTCTCTCATCAATGTTTCTAACTCTCTATCCCTCTCTCTTCCTCTTTGTGAAAAATTAATAAAAAAATATATTAAAAAGAAATCTTTAAATTACCCAACCCATACTATCTTATCAGAGGTATTGCTTTTGAATATTTGCTTTCAATCATTTCTCAAATGCATACTTTCATATAGTTGTAGTCAGAAAACTGAAATAATTTTGTATGTTTTATTGGTACATAACATTACGTATTTAGTGATACTGTTACTAGTATATAATTCTTCATGATGATCATTACTGGCTTCAGAATATATATCTGGAAGTAGATGTGCCACAGTTGAGTTAGCTCATCCCCAATTACCAAACACCTGCCTGCTCGGGTTCTAAGTCTTGGTCCCTTACTTACCCTGCCACTCCGTGACACTGAGTAAACAACATAGTTCTGTGTTCTTTTTAGGAGCAGTCTCTTCTCATTTCTTACTAAAGAAAAGTAAATTCTTCTCAAAGGCCTTCTTGTATTCCCATGGAAAGACAGTAAGCCACAGAAGAAGGAAAATGACCAACAGTGACAAGGCACTCACTATGCACTGGACTCTAGCCGAGGGCATTCACACTCACTGCTGGTTTCCAGTCCTTCTCTGGGTTGAGTTATTATTAGCTCTGTTTCACAAAAGCTTGGAAAAGCCATCAACTTTGCAAAGGGGCATAAGTAACATTTTTGGACAATGGAAATATGCTATATATTGACTGTGGTGGTGGTTATACAAGCGTATACAATTAAAAGACTCTATCTTGCTCAACAGGGGCTGTTTAAATCCCAACGCACTTCAGTGTACACACCCATATTAACATATATATATATATATATATATATATATATATATATATATATATACACACACACACATACATACACAAACTTGCAAAACCCTAAGCTCACACATCTAACAGTGAGAAATAAGAAACTTTCTCATTTGTTTTGACTTTAAACAAATATCATTAATCTCTTTAAAGACTAACATTTGGAACTGAAGCCAAGATAAAGGCTTATCAAGTAAGAAGGGCTCTCCTAAATCCTAAGCCTATATTTATAGCAGAACTCTGCATTCTGCTGAAGGTGAAAGCTTACTGAACTCATTTAATTGGTTTCCAATTCTGCCAACGGAAAGTTTCTTGAGTACAAATTTTGTGAGAATATATATATATATATATATATATATACCACCTACCTTATATGAAATGCCAGCAAATTAGCCTTTTTAAGAGCAATGAAATCAACCTTTGACTTATTTTACTTTGATGAAGTGAAATTAGCATTTTATGAAAATAAAAGTTCACATAAGTTCTTTGTTAATCAAAGTATTAAAAAAAACAATGAGGGTGGGTGGAACCTGGTGGAAGGAGGAAGAAATGAGGAACCTTTGTAATAATATGAACAATAAAGATTGATTTAAAAAAAATAAAATAAATAAAAACAAACAAACAAAAAACAATGAAAATACTTGGGATTCTAAAGAAAATGATTATGTACCTGATTTGCTCTAATTACATAATGATGAAAGAATGCTACCAAATTTTAAAAATTCAAATTTCTATTAAAGTTAACAATTATTTAGTTAGAGCCAAATACAATTGCACAACAGAATACAAAATTCTCCATTGCTAAGTGGCTTCAGAAGGCCATATATTTTTCCAATTATGGCCTCCAACTCTGCCAGATCTGTTAAAGTGTATTCTTAGCATCACACTCACAAGTACAATGGGTCGAAACCAACCTTGATGAGAAGAAGTTGACACCGAAGATAGGCAGCAGAGAAGTCAGCTACTCCTGCCAATTCAGACTGAAGTTCTCCAAGTCTTTGCAGATCCCTATAGTAAACAAAACCACAAGCCAAAATAGGATAAGGATAGTAACAGCAACATAAGAATCATGTCAAAGCATTTTACCATTTTACACCTAGTAAAGCAGTAATAAATTTGAAAACAGCATCCAATGCTGGAGTGGTTAAAATGAAGTGGTTCATTCACACTGGATAATAGATTAAGCTGATACAATTCTTAGGAAAGTGAAATTGTACTATGTTATAAAAGTCACACATATGGTCATATATTTTGATCGGTAGCTTTATGCTAATTAGTAATTCTAAAGAAAATCTTCAATAGAAATGAAATGCTCCATGCCTCATAATAATTATGTGGATTATTATAGTAAAAATCCAGTCACTAAGTATTCAATGGAAGAGGAATTTTAAACATTACTGCATATTCAGTCAATGAAATAAATACTTTATAGCCATCTATACTAATAAAAGGGTAATATGCTAATTAGACCAGGAGACCTTCAGGACGTCCTTCCAAAGACATGATGGCGGGACCAAGGCAGAGGCGGTTAGGTGAGGGCAATTGAGGGCAATCAGGCTGGTGGAGGGGGCCAGTTGGAGGTGAGCAGTCAGGCAGGGGGGCTGTTGGGGGCAATGAGACCAGCAGGGGGAGGGCAGTTGGGGGCAAACAGGCCTGTGGAGATGGGCAGTTGGGGGCGATTGGGTCAGCAGGGATCGGGCCTAAACCAGCAGTCAGACATACCCGAGGGGTCCCAGATTGAAGAGGGTGCAGGCCAGGCTGAGGGACAGCCCCCCCCCCCCCCATGCACAAATTTCACACACCAGGCCACTAATTAAAATATAAAATGATAATAAGATCTATGATCTCAACCATGTAAAAGCTATATATAGGCGAAAATACAGCCAAGTGTATTTATTTCTTGCCTATTTTTCTGGATAGAGGTATTCAGGGGCCTTTTAGTGCCTACTCCCAACTATGGTTTATTTTCCAATGGACAAGTATTTTTTGTATCACCAGGAAAAAAAAACCTGCTTGTAGACAAGAAAAGAGAAAGTGACACACAGATAAAATAGTTGTATTGGGGGCTAAGATTACTACTTTAAAACTTTTAATTTTTGGAATAGATAACACATATCTGACTATAGAATTATACTTGTAGAGTATAGAATTCAAGAGATACTAAAGGAGATATTCAATTAAATTAGCCACCTTCCCATACCTGTGTACTGCTAACAAGTACACCCTTTCCAGAGGAACCACTATTACCAATTCTTATGAATTTTTCTTGTAATATCCTATACATTTACAAAAGGTATTGTTTTTCTTTTCTTTCTTCTTTTCTTTTGGGGAGGATTATGTGCGTGTGAGAAACAGACCCCTAACAATCCATCTCAGCAAGAATTCAAAAAAATGCTACTTTATTTTTTAATGGCAATATAAAAATTTCCTACAGAAATGGTAACTGTTAGAAATGAAGATTTGGGTCATGAAGGAAGTTAATTGTTTCAGGGCTGGCATAATATATTACGATTCATAGTAGCCTGTATAAAACTCTCCATCGGACTAATCCCCTCCCTATAATCTCAGGCAATTTTCTGATGGCTAATGCTGCCTCCTAAGACCTTAAGACGACAGATCAGATGCTCTGGGAAGGGGCACCAAGTAAATTCTTCCAAAAGTAATTGAGGAAAGTGGGATCCATAGCTTATATATCACCGCTTGTGAGTTTTGGTGGCTTGACCTGCCCATTGTGAGAATCCAGCACAATAAAAGGCAAGACCCTGTACCAACTAATCACACTTGAAAAGTGCTTATTTTGGTGACCAACTGGTCTCTCCTTTTCCCATCTCTAAACTCTCTCTTACAAAAGACAGCCCTGAATCATTCTACTTCGTAACCATTTCCTCTCCATGAAAATTCTGCTTCCTGTTACAATTACAGAGAACACTGCCCAGCTGACTATACATTAGCTGACTGCCACCATTGTTAAGTTTTTCTACCACCCTTGCATTGTAGCAACTGTTCTGAATTGCAGAAAACAAGATGCAATTCAACCAGCAATGGGAAATCTAAACTACTGAACAAACAAAAATGGAAACTTGCTGGCCCTGGACAAAATGCTCTATGTCCCAGTGCTTCCTCTCTGGACCTCTTTATGCCCACAATCCTTAAGAACAAGTTTACACATTGGTCGGGAGCCTAAGAATTCTTTATTGAAGATGGTTACAAAGAGCAGCTCCTCTGTGCACTGTACTAGGAGTTTACTTATTTGAGCTCATGTAATCCTTACAATGTGAACTGCAATTAATATCATTTCACTGAGAAGAAAAATGAAGGCCAGAGTTATTTAAGTGGTTTGTCCAAGGTTGCAGAATTAGTGACAAAAAACAGTCTAACTCTAAAAATCTTTTTTTCAACCATATCATACTGCATTTCATTTATTTCTTGCCTATTAAAATACTTTCATATATTTAAAAACTATATCAAATACAATGAGAACAAAACTGATTTAAAATCAGATAAATATTAAGCCACATTTTCAGAGGTGTGATGTGGCAGGACAAAAGAGCCCCTTCAAGAAACATGCATTTTAGTAATCGTTAGACAATGATGGCAATAAGTATCATTTAAAAACATTAGAAGAACACAAGTTTACAGATTTTGAAAAAAAAAAAATTTTTTTAAGTTTATACAAAATGGCAGTGGAGTAGGTAGAAGCTATACTCACTTTGTCCCAAAAGAATAAAATATAGAACACTCAACCTTAATCAATTGAAGATCAGCTGTAGAGAAGTCTTATAGCCAAGGTTTTAGAGAGGTCGTCACAATGAGACAGGTAGAAATGACAGAGACGTGAAAAGGGCAGGTCTCGCTTCCATGGGCTGCAGCTATGGTTCCAGAGGGATATCTCAGCTGCAAGGGGGTTTCTCTTGATATGTGTATGATCTTACTAGTAAGCCCAAATAAGACTCCCCAGCCCAGCGCGCCAGAGCCTGGAAGAGGTACCATATAATATCTGGCTGTGAAAAGCAGTGAGCTTTCTGTCTACCAGGGACAAAGGGGAGTCCACTAAAAACTCAAGCAACCTCTTAAGGGTCAATGCACAATATCTCCTTTGTAGCCACACTCCCTGGATTCCAACAGAGGGATGATGGAGCAAACTAGAGTCATGAGAGACTGGGTTTTATTCGACATAGTTCTGGAAGTCCCAGCCATGGCAATCAGACAAGAAGAAGTGAAAGGCAAACAAATTTAAAAAGAAGTAAAACTCATTGTTTTCAGATGACATGATACTGTATATACAAAACCTAAAGATTTCACACACAAAAAAAAATACTCAAAAAAAACACTAGAACTGATAAATGAATTCAGTAAAGTAGCAGGATATAAAATAAATATCCAGAAATCAGTATAAATAAAAGAGTAATATGCAAATTAACCATCACACCAAGACACAAGATGGCTGACCCCATGTGGACACAAGATGGCTGCCATAAGATGGCCTGCAGGGGAGGGCAGTTGGAGGGACTAGGCCGGCAAGGGAGGGCAGTTGGTGGTGGGGGACCCAGGCAAGCAGGGGAGTGCAGTGGGGAGCAAGCAGTCCTGGATTGTGAGAAGAATGTCCGACCACCCATTTAAACAGGTGGTCCAACATCCCTCAAGGGGTCCCAGATTGGAGGGGGTACAGGCTGGGCTGAGGGACAACCCCCTCTCTCCATCCTCACCCTCACTCCTGTGCATGAATTTTGTACACCGGGCCTCTAGTATACTGCTAATGAACTATCAGAAAGGGAAGCTAAGAAAATAATCCCATTTACAATTACATAAAACAAACAAATCTTGGAATAAACTTAACCAAGGATGTAAAAGACCTGTACTTGAAAAATTATAAGACACTGAAGAAAGAAATTGGAGACAAATATGTGGAACCATATACCATGTTCATGGATAAGAATTAACATTATTAAAATGCTCATACTACCCAAAGCAATCTAGAGATTTAACCCAATTCCTATCCAAATAGGAACAAATATTCCAATAATTTACAGGGCACCATAAAAGACCCCAAACAGCCACAGTAATCTTGACAAAGAACAAAGTTGGATAAATCAGCTATCAGATATAAAAATATATGCAAGCAACAGTAATCAAAACAGCATGGTTCTGGCATTAAAAACAGACATACAGATCAATGGAACAGAATAAATAGCCCAGAAATAAACCCACGCATTCATGGTCAATTAATATTTCACAAAGAAAGCGTGAAAATACAATGGGGTAAAGATAATTTATTCAGCCGAAACCGGTTTGGCTCAGTGGATAGAGCGTCGGCTTGGGGACTGAAGGGTCCTGGGTTCGATTCTGGTCAAGGGCATGTGCCTTGGTTGCAGGCACATCCCCAGTAGGGGGTGTGCAAGAGGCAGCTGATCGATGACTCTCTCTCATCCATGTTTCTAACTTGCTATCTCTCTCCCTTCCTCTCTGTGCAAAATCAATAAAATATATTTTTTTTAAAAAAGATAATTTATTCAATAATTAGTGTTGGGAAAACTGTACAGATATGTGGGGGGAAAACTAGATTACCTTCTTACACCATATACAAGAACAAACTCAATATGAATTAAACAATTAAATGTTAGACTCAAAACCACAAAAATCCTAGAAGAAAAGATAGGCAGTAAAATCTCTAACATTCTGTGCAGCACCATTTTTTCTGATATATCTCCCTGGGTAAGAAGAAAATAAACAAACGGGACTATATCAAACTAAAAAGGTTTTGCATAGCAAAGGAAACCCTCCAAAAATTAAAAGACCACCCACTGAATGGAAGAACATATTTGACAATAATAGAACTTATACAACTCTTTTTTAAAATATATATTTTATTAATTTTTTTACAGAGAGAAAGGGAGAGATATAGAGAGCCAGAAACATCGATGAGAGAGAAACATCGATCAGCTGCCTCCTGCATACTCCCCACTAGGTATGTACCCGCAACCAAAGTACATGCCCTTGACCAGAATCAAACCTGGGACCCTTGAGTCTGCAAGCTGTCACTCTATCCACTGAACCAAACTGGTTAGGGCAGCGGTCGGCAAAATGTGGCTTGCAAGCCACATACGGCTCTTTGGCCCCTTGAGTGTGGCTCTTGCACAAAATATCACATGCGGGCATGCACGTACAGTGTCATTGAAACTTCGTGGCCCATGTGCAGGAGTCAGTTTTCAGCTCCCAAAAGAAATTTCAATCACTGTACTGTTGATATTTGGCTCTGTTGACTAATGCGTTTGCTGAGCACTGGGTAGGGAACCTCTTTTTTTTTTTTTTTTTTTTTTTTAAATATATTTTTATTGACTTCAGCGAAGGCAGAGGGAGAGAGAAACAGAAACATCCACAATGAGAGAATCATGGATCTGCTGCTGCCTGCAAGTCCCCCACCGAGGAGCAAGCCCACAACCTGGGCACCTGCCCTTGTCTGGAATTGAACCTAGGACCTTTCAGTTTGTAGGCCGAAGCTCTACCCACTGAGCCAAACCAGCTATGCTCGCCCCCCACCCCCTGTTTTTTTTGTTTGTTTGTTTGTTTTTTAAAGAGGAAGGAAGAGAGTGAGAGAGAAACATCCATGAGAGAGAAACAAAGACTGGCCACATGTCCCACTACCAAGGATTGAGCCCACAACCTGGGCATAAAAATAATCAATCCAATTAAAAAAATAAGCAAAGGATCTGAATAAACACTTTTCCAAAGAGAGCACACAGATGGCCAATAGACATATGAAAAAGTGCTCATTGTCACTAATCATCAGAAAAATGCAAATTATAAGCACAATGAGATACTACCTCATACATGTCAGAATGGCTATCATCAATAAATCAACAAACAACAAGTGTTAGTAAGAACGTAGAGAAAGGAAAACCCTCATGCACTATTGGTGGGAATGCAGATTGGTGCAGCCACTGTGAAAAGCAGTATGGAGGGTCCTCAAAAAATTAAAAATGGAACTACCTTAAGATCCAGTAATTCCATTTCTGAGGGTTTATCTGAAGAAACCCAAAACAATTATTCAAAAGAATGTATGTACCTCTATGTTCATTGCATTATTTACATTACCCAAGATATGAAAGCAGTCCAAATGCCCCATCAATAGACAAGTGAATAAAAAAGCTGTGGTACATCTATACAACGGACTACTACTCAGCCATAAAAAAGAAGAAAATCTTGCCTTTGCAACAGCATAGATGGACTCAGAGAGTATTACACTAAGTAAAATAAGTCAGTCAGAGAAAGACAAGTACCATATGATTTTACTTATATGTGGCATCTAATGAAAAAAATAATCAAACAACCAAAAACCTTATTTACAAAAGCAGATGGATATTGTTCTTGCTAAGACAAATGGTTTTCAATTATTTTTATAACATTCAGGACATTCTAATAAGGTTAGCAGAGTCTTCTGGTTGTTCCCCAATATCCTCCCCTTCCTCCTGAGTAACAGTCACCAAATGTTAACAAGCACTGGGCACCCAGAATAAAGACTGCATTTCCGAGCTCCTTACAGCTAGGTATGGCATTGTATCTCAAAATCTAGTCAATAGGATGCAAGTAAAATTAAAACATGCAACTTTGGGGAAGTGTCTTTAAAAGGGGTAAGGGTAGAAATAATGCTGTTCTCCTGTTTTTTTTTTTGTTTTGTTTTTTCCTTTTTCCTGTAGGAATATAGAGGAGATAGAGTTTGGAGCTTTAGGTCTAGGCTCCTGATGACCATCACAACTATGTCCTGTCTATGAGAAAGAATTAGCCTTTTCTCCTGTTTAAAGCATTGTTATTTCGCTTTTTCCACCACTTATCCTAAATAATATATAAGGAAAGGAACAGATAAAAACAGCTTCTTTGTAACTCTTTCTAGTTTTGTACTAATCATCAATCTGGTCATGTACAGAAAGAGTTTTCCTTTGTATAAAATATGCTCAAACTCCAACCTAATCCAAAATAAACACATCATAAAACCATGTGTGAGTATTGGTCTATAGAAAGACTAGCCTGTAACCAACACTGGAAATCAAAACAGTCAAGCAGAGCAGAACAACAATGCTAACTGTCAAAGGAAAGGGACAATTATCTCACCTGATGGTGAACTCTAGCAGCTCCTGGGTTCCCTGAGGGTCCAGGTGCTGAAGACTGTACACCCTTTCAAGGCTCTGCTGCAGGAACTGATGGGAAGGATCCTCATGAGGCGTGATATTGGGGGAAACAGCTGATGACACAAGTTTTCTACCTGATAACTAAGCAAACATAATCCGGTTTTAAACCTTTTGAAACACAACATAACCAGAAAAAGAAGTGAGCCAAATAAAGTAAAAGGAACAAAAAGCTAGGGGTTTCTATAAATAACCTTTCTCCCCTTCCCCAGCTTCAGTGGGAGAAAGGGAAAGAGAGGAAACGAAATAGCCACACGCTGCGAGAAAAAGAGAATGGTATACTACTATTTTCCATTGCTAACTGAAATACTGAGATAAATGGGCTAACCAAAGAAACAGGACTAAAAATTAATGTTTCCACACTTTATTTATTTAAGTTCATTTTTATTAGAGCCAAATCAAAGCCAAACTATTTATTGTATTAAGTCCAGCTTTAATTTGGCCTAATTAAAAAAATTATTTCCAGCCGAAACCAGTTTGGCTCAGTGGATAGAGCGTAGGTCTGGGGACCAAAAGGTCCCAAGTTCGATTTCGGTCAAGGCCATGTATATTGGTTGCGGGCACATCCAGGCAGGGGTGTGCAGGAGGCAGCTGGTTGATGTGTCTCTCTCATCAACATTTCTAGCTCTTTATCCCTCTTCCTTCCTCTCTGTGGAAAATCAATAAAACATATTTTTAAATAATTTAAAAAATAAAAATAAGTCAATATTTAGAATAAATAAATAAATAAATAAATAAATATTTCCTCATTTATTTATCGACTAGAGGCCCAATGCACGAAATTCATGTAAGAGTAGGCCTTCCTTCTCCCGGCTGCCAGCACCGGCTTCCCACCTGCACCGGCTTCCCTCCGGCCGCCAGCAGGAACCTGGGACCCAGGCTTTCCTTGCAGCCCCAGCTTCGTCCAGGATGTCTGGTCTAAATAGTATAGTCTTCTTTTATTAGTATAGTCTGCTTTTATTAGTATAGATTTGAGAAAGAGAGAAACATCAGTTTGTTGTTCCACTTATTTATGCTTCATTGGTTGATTGTTATATGTACCTTGAACAGGACCTGCAACCTTGGTGTATCGGTCTGCTGCTCTAACCAACTGAGCCTGATATAACATAACCAATAACCTAAGGACATTTTCAAAATGAATCGTTTTTAAAAGGTAAGAAGCAAAAAGTACAAAACAATGGGATAGAGCTCATGAGAGAAAGAGCATGAATGAATCCTTTTTCAGAGAATATAGTCTGTTTTCTACTATTTGATAACCACAAAGAACCAAAAACCAAAAACAAGGACAAAAGATGTTTTTTCAACATACCCTCAAAGCAGGAACAAGATGAGAAAGACTGTCCCGGAGGTAGGCATAGTGCCTGAAGGTATGATCCGAGAACAACGCTGGCATTGTTGGGCAGCTTTTAGCAGCATTGAAGATAAGAACCAAAACTGCGATGTCTGATGGATGAGTGAGTTAAGTAAGCCTGGAGGTACAAAAGGTTGAGTTTGGCCAGAATCTAGTGTCCCCCACTTCCTGCCCCCAAAATTCCCACTAAGTGACTACAATTTCCTAATACAGAAATGCAAATTCAAACAGAGACAGATTATTTTACTCCATATTATCCCAATTACCAAAGGTATAAAAAAAGAATGCCTGTGATGAGGGCCTGGGGGGGCAGAAGGGGTAGGAGAGGGCTGGAAGAGGTTAGTGTGGGAAAAAGAAGGACCTATGTAATACTTACAACGATAAAAAAATTTTTAAAAAATAAGCAAACAATAAAAACAAGAAATTGGCAAAAGAAGAGAAAAACTTCAAGATAGCAACAACAACAAAAATCTATGTATATATAAAAGCCCAAGCAACTGAATGACCAGTCGACCGATTATGATGCCCACTGACCACCAGGGAGCAGACGCTGTACACAGGAGTTGGCCCCTGGTGGTCAGTGTGCTCTCACAGCCAACCTCCTATGGCTGGCCAACTCCTGCAGTCCCTCCCTACCGGCCAACCTCCCGCAGCCCCTCCCCTTGGCCGGCTGGCCCAGATTGCCAGCCAATCTGAGGGACCCCACTTGTGCATAAATTCATGCACCAGGCCTAATAATGATAATAATAATAATAATAATAATAATAGTGCCTGATGCTATTGAGAATACTAATAAGTGGAAAATTTTGATACATTGGCTACTAAAATATATCCAGGCACAATCCCTTTGGATAATAATCTGGTTCTAGATAATAAGGGTCTTATGAATATTGAATAATTCCACATCTCAAATCTATTCTAAGTAAATAATAAGATAGCACAGAAGCATTTATAATAGCAAATAAAAAGAAATAACTTAAATATCCCAAACCAGGAGAATAACTATACAACTTACACTTCATTTACTTGATGGAGTATTATACAATCATTAAAAATAAGGCTTATAAAAAATTTATAATATTGTATCATAAGCATATTGTTACACATGAAAAAAGCAGACTCTAAAATATAGAAGATATGACAGCTATCTATTATCAAATATTTGTTGATGAAATACATATATTTAAAAAAATAAACAGAAAAATCCCAACCCCAAGATTAAAAAAAAAAAAAAATACACCAAAATATTAACAGTTGATTACTTTGGATAATAGAACTTTGGATGTTAACTACAAAGTTTCTTTCTATTAAAATTATAATTTGTTTAAGTTACATTTGGAGGCAATCTCTGTTACAGCCAAACACATTTCCTAAATAACACAATCCTCCAACTACCCCCAGAAAAGTACTTTAATAGGCTTTTAACAATGTTTGTGTTGTGTGTTTTTTGTTTTTTGTTTTTAATATTTTAAATGTATTTTTACTAGAGGCCCGGTATGGATTCATGCACCAGTGGGGTCCCTCGGCCTAGCCTGCAGGAATTGGGCTGAAACCTGTTCTCGACATCCCCTGAGAGGTACCAGAATGGGAGAGGGCTCAAATAAAATCCCTAAACTTCACCAATGGTCTCGCACAGAGTGAAAAGAACCATGGGACAGCATGAATGTAAATGTATTCCCATGACTGAAAAATAATCCAATTGCACGGCATGCTGTCCACGGCAATCTCAAACCCATTGAACTTGTATCAGAGGCATAGTAGCTCAGCTGCATCCACTCATTTCAGGCTGCATATCAAATTAAACACGCAGTAAGACATAGGAGAAAGTCCATAGGCTTTAAACCAAAGGTAGCTGACTGCGAATCCCAGATTTAATGCTTAGAGAGTTACTTAGCCTCTCTGAGCTTCAGTTTTCTCATCTGTAAGCTGGGAATAATACCTCCTTCTATGTTTGTTTGGAAAATCTTTGACAAAATGAATAAAGCATTTAAACGTTATGTGGCATATAGCAGGTGTTCAATAAATGGTGAAAAAATTTATTTGTATTAAATACCAAAGGGCAATTATTGTGAAAACAAGAAAGAAAGCTGAGAATAACCTCCAGGCTAGGCTACCTCAGCATATATTCTCTTATCTAAAAGAAATGAAAAATAAAAGAAATGAAAAAATAAAACTCAGACCACCTAAGCTACACCCCAGGAAAATATGCTAGAATTCCCTGCCAAGTCAGTAGGGTCTGTCCTAAGCACAGAGGATACATGCTGGATCATCCATGTCTGGCTCAGCTGTGTCAAAAAATGGGTGGGTGCTCAGGAGCTCTGGAACCAAGGGAAGCACCAGGGTTGGATGTCGACTTCCCAGAAACTTCAGGCATCTGAAATAAACAAAATGAGAGCCCACATTAGTAAGTTAATAAATGCTTTTCAAAGTACTAAGATTTAGAATCAGAAAGCCTGATTCAGAATTACAAATTCTCGCCCTAACCGGTTTGACCCAGTGGATAAAGCGTGGTCCAGCAGACTGAAGGGTCCCAGGTTCGATTCCAGTCAAAGGTACATACCTTGGTTTTGAGCACATCCCCAGTAGGGGGTGTGCCAGAGGCAGCTGATCAGTGTTTCTAACTCTCTATCCCTTTCCCTTCCTCTCTGTAAAAAAAAAAAAAAAAATCAATAAAATATATTTTAAAAATAAAAATAAACTGGCCATCTTTAAAAAATAAAATAAACAGAATTATAAATTCTCAACCACCTAGTTTTGCTACTTCTATGACTTCAGAAAAGTAATTCAATTGCTTTTTAAAGTACCAGGATTTAGAATCAGAAAGCCTGACTCAGAATTACATATTCTCAACCACCTAGTTTGACTTCAGAAAAGTAATTTAATATTCTAAAACTCAGTTAATTTGTCTGAAAATTTGGTTAATATGAAGACAAAAGAGCTGCTACAGCAGATATTACTACTGGTTATTTAACAACGATTTCCCCTAACTTCCTTGCCAAGAGTACCCTGGTTTTACTCAGGCATAAGGTAGATAGCAAAGTGCTCAGAGAAGGCAGGTCAAGTATTGGTCTAAACCCATCATGGCAACCCCATCCATATTTTCCAGTGACTGGTTTTCAAGTAATCAACTAATCCGGTTCTGGTGAATGGAAGTCTGCTGGAGAGCTTCTGATGTATCCTATACAATAAAAGCCTAATATGCTAAGTGTCTGACTGTTCGTTCAACTGTTTGACCAGTTGCTATGACATGCACTGACCACCAGGGGCAGACACTCCAATCAGCAGATTAGCTTGCTGCTGGGGTCTGGCTGATTGGGACTGGGGAAAATGGGCTGGACACGCCCTAGAGCCCTCCTGCAGTTCTTCCCCAGCCCTGATCGTACACCAGTGGGATCCCTCAGGGGATATCAGAGAGCCAGTTTTGATCTGATCCCACAGGCCAGGCCGAGGGACCCCACCAGTGCACAAATCCATGCACAGGGCCATAAAGTAAGAACTCAATTGGCTATTAATTAGTAAAGTAAGAACTCAATTGCCATAAAGTAAGAACTCAATTGGCTATTATATTATTATTCATTGGCTATCAGTTAACTATTATGACTACATTAAGGTCCTTTATAAACTACCAAGAACTACAAGTGTGATCTAGTGCTTGAGTGTCAACCCACGAACCAAGAGGTTGCTGGTTCGATTCCCAGTCAGGGCACATGCCTGGGTTGCTGGCTCCCTCCCTAGTGTGGGGCATGCAGGAGGCAGCTGATTGATGTTTCTATCTTTCTATCCCTCTCTCTTCCTCTCCAAAATTCAGTAAGAACATATTAAAAAGAAAGAAAGAAAGAAAGAAAGAAAGAAAGAAAGAAAGAAAGAAAGAAAGAAAGAAAGAAAGAAAGAAAGAAAACTATATGTGTGCTAGTAATTATGCATTTTTATTATTTTTTTATTTGTTAAATTCTGGTTTAGAAGGTGTAATGAATTGAAAAGAAATATAAATCCTAATTTCTGTTCTCAATGAGTTTATGATCCAGCTGAGGCAAACAAATGAAGATAGTCTGCTTTCTACCTATCAAAGGTAGAAGAAATTACCATAATAAGAGAAAGTATCACAAAGAAGATGGACTTCACAGGGACTGGAGAACAGGCAGACTGGCAAGAGAAAGAGAACAAACACCATTAACCATGAATTCATGGATATATGTGGGATATGAAAGGCACCACATTTAAAACACCTGACATTGTTAGTAAACTTTTCCTCGTCCTGTTTTCCTTCTGTGGGAAACAACTTATTTCACTAATTTTCTGACTTCTCTCAAGGCTTTTTACTCACTATGCCTAAGGGACTCTGTAAAGGTTGTAGTTTGGCGTCCAGGTGCCACCCTTTTATTTTATCTCTTTCTATTCAGATCTCAGGTGGAGAATACAAGTTATTAATTGGGTCCCCTCAGAGAGCCCTAAGTATCTGGGCCTCTCTAAAGCTAGACTTCAAGTCTGACTTGTAATATGTTTTACTATCTCATCCACCTCCCTATCTACACATTTCTTTCTTCTCTCCCTACCAGCTATTTTGAAGGCTATGTTTCTGAAATGAATCCAATTTTTGTTTTTTGTTGTTGTGATTGTTGTCAATTTTCACCCCATGATATTTTTCCATTGATTTTTAGGGAGAGTGGAAGAGAGAGGGAAAGACAGAGAAACATCAATGTGAGAGAAACACATCAACTGGTTGCCTCCTGCACATGTTTCCATTCCTCCAAAAGCCATCTTAATAATCTCAATGCAGGCAGAGGCTTTTGACTTCCTAAATAACACATTAAGGAGGGGCCAGGATAGGAAGGAGCCTGCAACCAAGGTACGTGCCTTTGTGCCTTTGACCGGAATCAAACTCTCTCTCTCTCTCTCTCCTCCACTGCTTTCCATTCTCTCTCTCTCTCTCTCTCTCTCAAAAAAAAAAAAAAAAAAAAAAAAAAAAAAAAAAAATATATATATATATATATATATATATATATATATATATATATATATATATATCTCAATGGAAAAATATCCTTAGGTGAGGACTGAAAAAGGAAAGTGTTCCTAGAACAAGATCTCTCTGGTATTTTTTTTAAATATATTTTTTATTAATTTCAGAGAGGAAAGGAGAGGGGGAGATCAGCTGCCTCCTGCACGCCCCCTACTGGGGATCGAGTCCCTACCCAAGCATGTCCTCTGACCAGGAATCGAACTGTGACTTCCTGGTTCATAGGCTGACACTCAACCACTGAGCAACACTGGCCAGATTGGTATTTTTAAAAATATATATATTTTTATTGATTTCATAGAGGAAGGAAGAGGGAATGAGAGAGAGAAATATCCACGATGAGAGAGAATCATGGATTGGCTGCCTCCTGCAAGTCCCCCACTGGGGATCAAGCCAACAACCCAGGCATGTGCCCTTGACTAAAATCAAACCTGGGACCTTTCAACTTGCAGGCCCATGCTCTATCCACTGAGCCAAAGTGGCTAGGGAAGTATTTTATTTATTTATTATTATTTTTTTAATATATTTTTTTATTGATTTTTTTACAGAGAGGAAGGGAGAGGGATAGAGAGTTAGAAACATTAATGAGAGAGAATCATCAATCAGCTGTCTTCTGCACACCCCCTACTGGGGATGTGCCCGCAACCAAGGTACATGCCCTTGACCAGAATCGAAACCGGGACCTTTCAGCCTGCAGGCCAACACTCTATTCACTGGGCCCAATCAGTTTTGGCTGGAAGGGCAGTATTTTAAATTTTTTTTTAATATATTTTATTGATTTTTCACAGAGAGGATGAGAGAGAATCATCGATCAGCTGCCTCTTGCACCTCCCCCCACCGGAGGTGTGCCGGCAACCAAGGTACATGCCCTTGACCGGAATCGAACCCGGGACCTTTCAGTCTGCAGGCCGACGCTCTATCCACTGAGCCAAACTGGTCCCGGCAGTATTTTAAATTTTTAATGTATCTTTTATTCTTGGAAGAATGAAAACATTCTCCCAAGTACCTGATTTTACCATTTTTCTACTCTTAGTAACAAATTGTTCTGAAAATCAAGAAACTACACAGTTGGCATGATCTCATCACATAAGCTTATTTAAATACGTGGAGCACACACTTTTTGTTGTTGGTGGTAATCCTCACCCGAGGATATTTTTTCCATTGATTTTTAGAGAGGTGAAGGGAAGCACACTCATTTAATTTTTATATTAAATGTTAAGCAAGTAGCCGGAACCAGTTTGGCTCAGTGGACAGAGCGTCGGCCTGCAGACTGAAGGGTCCCAGGTTCGATTCCGGTCAAGGGCACGTACCTTGGTTGTGGTCACATCCCCAGTAGTGGTGTGCAGGAGGCAGCTGATTGATGTTTCTCTCTCATCAATGTTTCTTACTCTCTATCCCTCTCTCTTCCTCTCTGTGAAAACTCAGTAAAATATATTAAAAAAAAAAAAAAAAAAGTTCAGTAGTTCTTCAAACAGCAATTCATGAACAGTGTTAACAGTTTTGTTTTCTAGTCAATAAAGCTAGAGGTAATCAAGGGGGGAAATGATTGACATTTTCAATTTGCAGATCAATTACAGGCCCTATCTCTAATCTTTATAATGGTAGTGTGATCCTGTACAAAATCCAACTAGACAAAGCAGTGATTAACACTACACAGGAGACAAAAGGAAATCTAATTAGCTCACCTCTGTACTTCCAACACTTACCACAGAGTTTGGCACACAAAGAAGCACATAGGAGGCATATATTTGTTAGGTGGATGGATGGACAAATGAATAAATAATCTAGAATAAAATATTCCATTTAGGAATCAGACTCCTGAGAGTTCAGTTAAGTTGAATCAGGTTTGTAAATTTAAGGCAAAATGGATAGCTGTATCCTCAATCTATGAGGATCCAATCTTATATTACAAAAGCCTAATATGCAAATTGTCCCCTCGACCAGGAGTCCAACCCAGAGTTCGACTAGGGGGCGAGGCTGGCTGGCCAACCATGGGAAGCCAAATACGGGAGGCCAAACACGGGAAGGGAGGCCCCTATCAACAGTGGTAGGCAGTTGTGGGAAGGGAGGCCCAGGCAGCTAGGGAAAGTGAGGTCCTGGCCGACAGCCACTAGGGACCCTAGCCGTGCATGCATTTTATGCGCGGGGCCTCTGGTGAATAATATCAAGACTGTATATTTACCATGTTATTTGACTCAGTGAGCAAATGCACAAAAAATTCCTTACTTCCATATGGAGTCCCTGTCAGTAGGGTACTTGGCTAAATTTTTCAGCAGCTCCACCAGTGCAAGATGAATCCCTTCTTTGGTTGAAACATTAGCACAGCATAAGAGTTCATGAAGAGCCTCCCTAATATCTCTGGATGAATCCTTTAAAAAATAGATAGCATTAATATTAGCAGTCACTATGAATTAGGTAATATGGAGAAATGTATAAGTTACAATGACAGTATAAGACCAAAAGTCTCGATTTTCTGGAAGAGAACACTGAAGTGACATATGAACTGAGATTTGAAGAATTAATTCATTTGTTCACTCATTTGTTTATACATTTACTGAGCACTTAGCAAATAGTCAAACATTTATCAAGCTCCTATTATGTACCAAATGCTGGAGCTACAACAGTAATTAATATCAAATCCCTGCTCTCATGAGCTTTATTCTAATGCAAAAACAATATACAGAGGTAAGAAACTATAAAGCAGGTTAAGGGAAAGAGTGGTGGGTTAGGTGGAGCATTTAACACCAGATAATCAAAGGGAACAGCACACATAAAGGCCATGAGGTGGAAGCATGTTTGAAAAATAGCAAGGAAATCAGGTAGCTAGTGCAGAGTAAACAAAGAGAGCAGCCCTAACCAGTTTGGCTCAGTGGATAGAGTGTCGACCTGTGGACTAAAAGGTCCCAGGTTCAATTCTGGTCAAGGGCATGTACCTTGGTTGTGGGCACATCCTAGTAGAAGGTGTGCAGGAAGCAGCTGATCAATGTTTCTCTCTCATCGATGTTCCTATCTCTCTATCTCCCTCCTTTCCTCTCTGTAAAACAATAAAATATAAAGAACACACACACACACACACACACACACACACACACACACACACACACGAAGAGAGCAATATAAGATGATGTCAGGGAAGTGGCCTCTTTTCTTCCCATTTCTAGCTTAATCTCACTAAAATGATTAAAAAAGGTCACCAACAGCTGAAACCGGTTTGGCTCAATGGATAGAGCGTCGGTCTTCGAATTGAAGGGTCCCGGGTCCGATTCCGGTCAAGGGCATGTACCATGGTTGCAGGTACATCCCCAGTAGGGGGTGTGCAGGAGGCAGCTGATCGATGATTCTCTCTCATCGATGTTTCTAACTCTCTATCCCTCTCTCTTCCTCTCTATAAAAAAATCAATAAAATGTATTAAAAAAAAAAAAAAAAAAAAAAGGCCGAAACCGGTTTGGCTCAATGGATTGAGCGTTGGCTTGGGGACTGAAAGGTCCCGGGTTCGATTCCGGTCAAGGGCATGTATAATACATTGGTTGCAGGCACATCCCCAGTAGGGGGTGTGCAAGAGGCAGCTGATCGATGACTCTCATCGATGTTTCTAACTCTCTCTCTCTGTCTCCCTTCCTCTCTGTACAAAATCAATAAAATATATTAAAAAAAAAAAAATCACCAACAGCCTGGTTGATGTGACACAGTGGCTGACCACTGACTTATGAAACAGGAGGTAACTAGTAGGTCACGGTTTGATTCCTGGTCAGAGTACTGAAAGGTCCTGGGTTCGATTCCGGTCAAGGGCATGTATAATACATTGGTTGCAGGCACATCCCCAGTAGAGGGTGTGCAAGAGGCAGCTGATCCATGACTCTCATCGATGTTTCTAACTCTCTCTCTCTCTCCCCCTTCCTCTCTGTACAAAATCAATAAAATATATTAAAAAAAAAAAAAAAGTTACCAACAGCCTGGTTGATGTGACACAGTGGCTGACCACTGACTTATGAAACAGGAGGTAACTAGTAGGTCACGGTTCGATTCCTGGTCAGGGTACAGGTTATGGGCTTGATCCCCCAGTGTGGGGCGTGCAGGAGGCAGCCAATTGATGATTCTCTCTCATCACTGATGTTTCTATCTCTCACTCCCTCTCCCTCTCTGAAATCAATAAATATTTATTTAAGAAAAAAGAACTTAAAAGCTGGAAACATACTGATAAGTATAACAGGGTGTTATAAAAATACAGAGAAGTGCTATTTAGTCCACGTGGGAGGTGGTGGTTAGTCAGGAAAGGCTTCCCAGATATGTTGCCTAAAGTAGATCCTGGGAATAAGCTAGTCTGCTAGGTGAAAAGTGGCAGATTTGTAGGCAGAGGGGGAAAATTGCAGTGCAGGCAAAATAGTGAAGAAAAGCATCGTGATTAGTGGAGTAACTACTGCATAAAGTTCAAGGTGAGAAATGATGGGGGGAAAAAGCTGAAAAGAAAAGGAGGAGCACATTATAGAGACCACCCCTGGAGAACAATCTATAGAATATAAATTTATCTTCTTAGGAAAAAAACATGAAAAATGATAAACAAAGATAACTCAGGAAAAATCTTAATAGAAGTAATAAAAAACTGAAAGAACAATAGAGAATAGAGAACTTCAAAATCAAAGCATCCAGTCAGTATGTTTATGTAAGCAGAAATCTGTAACAAGTGCTAATGATTAAATATCAAATTACTATCTCTTTTACAACATCTGGAAGGAAAAAGAAAAGAAAGCCAGAGATCAAATTAAATTTACTAATATCTTGAAAAAACATCAGTAGTTACAAATAAAATCCAGACATTTTACAAAAATAATCCAAGAACCACTCCTGGGAGGCAAATCTGTGTTTATATCCTGGCATAGTCAAGCACTAACTATGTAACAAACAAATTACCTTTTTTCCTGTAAAACTCTGGGGCTCAATAAACTGACCCCTAGGATCCCTTCCTGTTGTAATATCCTATGGCTCAACAGAAGAATTAAATCAAAGGCTGAGGATGATTCTTCATTATTTAGTCCCTGCCTTATCTATAGCCGTTTCCCCCTCTCCCTTCCGTCTCTTCAACTCTATGGTGCAATTACAATGAATTCATTGACTATATCCCACCCACTCTTACCTCTGGATCTTTAGACATTACTCCTTCTGTTTGGTACTCTTCCATCAGTGGTGCTCCTTCCTCAAAAAATGCCTCTTTAAGTTCTACTCCTCCTTCAAGTGTCCATTATATTCCTTCTTTCTTCCCTATTCCCCCAGCCTTACCTTAGATAATTCACGTTAGATAATCTCTGTATTCCCAGGGAGCCCTGTCCTTTCCTGATCATGGTAACTCTAAACTTTATTCGAATTTCCTGTTTAACACCATTCTCCTCCATCTTGGTGGCATTGTGTGATGAGAAGGCAGAACTGTGCTACCAAAACCTAGCAGAATGCTTGGTTAAAAATAAACAAAAAGCGGTGCCCCATAAGTACTGATGAAGAAATGAGTATCAAACTGTGACTGCTCACCTCTAATACACCCAGGATAGTGTCTAGCTGATCCTCTCGGAGGGTGATATTGTTGGAGATTTTTCTCATGGTATGTATGGACTGTAGACGTACTTCCTCAATTTCGTCATTAAACATATCAACCAGGAAATCAAGGCACTTCTCAGCAAAAGAGGATGAAGATTGGGCCAGCATGCAGAGAGCCTCCACAGCAGCAATGCGGACCTCTAGATGAAAGGAGACCAATACAACTGCATATCAAATTAAGAAGCATGGAAAAAAATCCAAGGATTCCTTCTCATTCATTTCTGTCTTTTGCTTTCACTCCCCTCACCCTACAAACTCTGGGAGATCTCCATGCTCACAGGTTCAGCTTCCACTCTCACTTCAACCTAAGAACATGAACGTTGGTGTCACAGGGACTAAGGTTTAGATCTTTACTGTGCAGACTTGTGATCAAGTCACACATCTGTCTCCATTAACTTAATTTCTTGAAAACTAAGTTTTAATTTAGCTCAGTATTCCAACTACAGTAAAGTATTGTGTGTTTTTTAAAAAGCAGCCAAAATAATGTTTTATTAAAACAGGCTAGATACCATTATTCTCATTTTAGAGATAAGATTCAACAAAGTGCATTAACTTGCCTCAAAATCAGTGAGAGGGGAGATAAGACCAGGATCCAGGTGTGTTGTTATATAGAATACCATTATATAGTGGTTAAAGGTAGATGCTCTGGAATAAGAGGAATTTCACAGTGAACTGTGAAGAATAATCCCTCCACAAACTTGGAGGTGAACTTTAGCACCTCAATTTTCTCACCTGTTCAATAGAGATGATATTTCCTTACCGAGTAGTTAGGATGACTGAATGACATAATGTAAGTAAAGCACAAAACACACTGCCTGGCATATGTTAAAAGCTCAACATCAGCTATTACAAGGTCTTGTAAGCACATTGAAAACAGAGCCATATTCTCTACTCTTGGAAAGCTCAGAACATGTAACAGTGAAGTTACTGAATCTAGGAAGCTCTTCGTTCATTCACTAACAATGTTTCCTGAACATGTAGGACATGCCAGGCTCTGTGCTAAGTGCTGGGATACAGAGTTGAGGAAGCTACAGACAATGCTCACAAGACTTTTATAGATGCTTGTTTTGTTCCAGTGGTTCCCTCAAGGCTCTGCCATACAATGTACAGTGTCAAAAGAAAAAAGAAACCATCCAAATTGTGGTTAAAACAAATATAAGTTGTTTTTGTACAAGAAATGTTTCTAGACACTTTAAAAAGCAGAGTTAGCCGAATCCGGTTTGGCTCAGTGGTAGAGCGTCGGTCTGCGGACTTAAGGGTCACAGGTTCGATTCCGGTCAGGGGCATGTACCTGGGTTGCGGGCACATCCCCGGTAGGGGGTGTGCAGGAGGCGGCTGGTCAATGTTTCTCTCTCATCAACATTTCTAGTTCTCTCTCTCCCTTCCTCTCTGTAAAAAGTCAATAAGATATATTTTTTAAAAATAAATAAATAAATAAATAAATAAATAAATAAATAAATAGCAGAGTTAATACACTTAAGGGAGATGACTCAGATTTTTCTTAGTAGTTATGAATTCCTCCTTCTAATGAGAAGGGAAGAATTTGCTCCACTTCATTAAAAAATGTAATTTAAATGTGAAATTGCTAATTACAAAGCAAGCCAGAAATGGACCTAAATATGTTAGTTGCTGGCTTTTCTCCCAGGGCTTTATCTATTACTATTGATAGAAGCCCAGTGCACAAAATTTGTGCAAGAGAGAGGGTATCCCTCAGCCCGGCCTGCACCCTCTCCAATCTGGGACCTCTCAGGGGATGTTATCCTAAACCAGCAGTTAGACATTCCCCCTCGCCCCCACCAGATCCTCCTAACTGCTCTCCCTTGCCAGCCTGATCACCCCTAACTGCCTCTGCCTTGGCCCTGCCACCATGGCTTTGTCTGGAAGGATGTCCAGTCTAATTAGCATATTACCCTTTTATTAGTAGTAATTGATTCATGTGTAACTCTTGCAACTCTATCAGAGGAATCATACAGAAACTCCTCTCAGCATGAGACCAGAGATGATAAAATTCCAAGCAAAAACTTGTGTGTTTTACTTTGCATGTACCGCCTTGCTACAGGCAGGTAAATAACAATTTCTACTGAACCACATGTACAAAGACCCAGAAAGAAGGGAGGAAATGCAACAACCAGAAGATTAAAAGTATGGGTGAAACTAGAAGTTACAGCACATGAAATGATCTTAACTTTCCAAAATTAGTCTCTTATTTATTTTTATTTGTTTTTGTTAATCCTCACCTGAGGATATTCTTCCATTGATTTTTAAAGAGAGTAGAAGGGAGGGGGAGAGACAGTGATAGACAAATATTGATGTGAGAGAAACACATTGATTGGTTGCCTTCTGCATGTGCACCAACCAGGGTTGGGGAGGTACATGCCCTTGACTGGAATCGAACCTGGGACCCTTCAGTCCCCAGGCCAACACTCTATCCACTGAGTCAAACTGGCTAGGACAAGTTCCTTTAATTAAACCTTAGTGACACTCAAAACTGCAGAACTAAACCACATAAACATTAACAGTGATGAAATTAAAATGTAGAATCTAAAGAATGCTAGTAGAAACAAAATCAATTCTAATTACTTGTCTTAGGATAAAACCGGTTTTAATAACTGGGCTTCCTGCCAAAACTGGTTTGGCTCAGTGGATAGAGCATCAGCCTGTGGATTGAAAGGTCCAAGTTTCGATTCCGATCAAGGGCATGTACGTTGGTTGCAGGTACATCCACAATAGGGGATCAATGCCGATCAATGATTCTCTCTCATCATGTTTCTAACTCTCTATCCCTCTCTCTTCCTCTCTGTAAAAAATCAATAAAATTAAAAAAATTATAGTAACTGGACTTCCTTATTATCTAATACTTTTCTATTATAATTCATTTATCAAGTTCATAAAGAACAAGAAAAAGCAGAGGTAGTTTTAACTAACTTCTACATATACAGAAAACCTTACAGCTAATTGTATAGAATAACCTAATTCTTATATCTACTAATAAAACATTGTCTTTCAAAAGTAATTTTCTTGCCCTGGCCAGTTAACTCATTTGATTAGAGCACCATCCCAATATGCCAAGGTTATGAACTCAACCCCCCCAGTTAAGGTACATATAAGAATCAACCAATGAGCGTAGCTGGTATGGCTCAGTGGCTGAGCAACAACCTGTGAACCAGAGCATCAACCTGTGAACCAGGAGGTCATGATTCAATTCCTAGTCATGGCACATGTCCAGGTTGCATGCTTAATACCCAGTAGGGGGGGTGTATGAGGTAGCTAATCAATGATATTCTTTCATCACTGATGTTGATCTCTCCCTCTCCCTTCTTCTCTGAAATCAATAAAAAATATACATCTATAAAAGAATCGACCAATGAATGTATAAATAAGTGGAACAACAAATTGATCTTTCTTTGAAAAACAAAAACACACAACAGATTTCTTAACAGAAATTATGTAAATCGGAAAACTATGGAACATCTATTAATCTAGAATTCAATTGCCAGTGATAATATTTTTTTTTTAATTAAGGTGTAACACTTTAAAAAAAAAACATTTTATTGAATTCAGAGAGAGGAAGGGACAGGGAGAGAGATAGAAACATCAATGATGAGAGAAAATCACTGATCAGCTGCCTCCTACACACCACTACTAGGAATCAAGCCCACAACCCAGGCATATGTCCTGATCTGGAACTGAACCATGACCTCCTGGTTCATAGGTCAGCACTCAACCATTGAACCACACCAGTCAGGCTGCAACACTCTTTATTCATACAAAGGTTTAGAGGTTAGACATTATCTGGGTTTAAATCTTGCTTCTGTCTCTTACTAGTGTGGTGACTAATAACCATGCAAACCCTTCTCCCACCGCCTCTACAGAATGGGGGATGCCCCCCACCCACGGTCATTCTGGAAGGTCATTCCACAGTCCAGTCTAATTAGTACATTAACTCTTTATTATATAGGATACTTACCATACATTTCATCTTCCAATCCATGAACAAAAGCTCCGCAAGCTCCTGACTGGATCAAGTTCACAGCCCCTGTATCTACTTCTTCCTTGGGAGCATCATCTCCCCACTTCCTGCCGCTGGAAAACTCCCCTGAACTATAAAGTTCCTTGGCACGCTCGTGCGCAGTGCGTTTCCTCTGTAGAGGACAACAACAATTACCACTTGCAAGAGGTTCAAGAAGGAACAATAAGATGCACCCTGAAAACACTGTAGGCAGGAAATAAGACTGCTCTCTCAGTTAACTTGCAAAAAAAAAAAAAAATACTCAATAGACCAGAGCAGAGAAATGCAAATTCAACTAAAAGACCAAAGGCTCACAGGTATACCACTGATGATAGTAACTTTATTAAAGACAATGAAAAAGTGTGTTGATCAGACAGGTGTTCATGTTTTCAATGATAACATAGGAAAGAGAGAACCAGAGAGGTAAACAATGGCAGTGTCCCTCCAAGCACCATGCCGGGTAGATAATACACTGGCCCTAGGAAAAAATCGTTTTCAGTCCCAGTAGAAGTCTCCATTTGACAACACTGTGTGTTGTATTTGAGCAATACTGTGCTCCCAAGCAACCTTCTAGTAAATTCATTTTCTGCACAGAATGCTTAATGGGGAACACACTGGTTACAAAAGTAAATATTCAGTCCACTTGAGAGTTATGACTCTTACCATAAATACTTTATAATTTGCCTCTTTTGAACATTATTGGTGTGACTCCACATCCTCATGGCATTGATAAAATACAGCACTTGAGCCTACAAGGATATGGGTCAGACCCAGTAGGAAAGTTTGTACTTTGTGATGTGTCTTAGAAACCTTTGGATCACCCATCCCTCACCATTCATCATGAACATATCCTCCTTTATACTTCTACCCAAGAATACAAAAGAACACCTAATCACTTACCTCAAATGAAGGCAATGCCATACAGGAAAGCCATATGGCAATATTTTTATATCAACTCTTCGACCATTCCTTAGAATGTATCTTATGTTACCAAATAACTCAAAAGAAGAAAAGAGCTAATATGCGGAAGATAATATTCTTTATGTGGTTTATTACGATGGAAAAACTAGAAGGATCTAAATGTATAATGATGAAGTATAGGGCTCTTACTCTTGATGATACATTTACTTATCAGAATATTATGCAATCAATAAAAATGCTAAGTATCAAGTTAGCAATGTGAAAAAAAGCATATGATACTGTGACAAATGTAAAAAATAGACTTACAAAACTATCTGAATACAATGTTTAAAACATGCATAAGAAAAAAGAGCTGGGGAAACTACACCAAAGGATCGCAGGTTCGATTCCTGGTCAAGGGCATGTTATAGGGTTGTAGGTTCAGTCCCATCCCTGGTTGGGGCACATGCTGAGGACAACCAATTGATGTGTCTCTCTCACATCAGATGTCCTCCCTCCTCCTCACTTCAACTCTCTTTAAAAATCAATGGAAAAAATATCCTCGGGTGAGAGTTAACTAAAATAAATAAATAAATAAATAAATAAATAAATAAATAAATAAATAAAGATATTGACAATAAATAAACATATCATATTCTCAGACTCATATTGGGTTCTGGCAAATATGTCAAAGAACTGTTGCAGTATAAGCCTAAAGGCATTCTATAAGAGGCATTTTGTTACAGTTCAGAGAAGGAATTTATTCCCTCTTCCATGGGAATTGTTACTGAAAAGCAGCCCTTAGATGTTACAATCTCAAAATATAAGACCAGACCTTTACAATTTCTAAGAAAAGGAAAATTAATACTGGTTCTCCTCTGTAGAACACAACTTCTACAAAGTATTTCATCATAATAATTTAAAATTTAATGAAGTTACTTTTAATTTGGTTCAAATTACCAAGATCTTAAATTAAATATAATCTAATCATCCTACATTAATTTAACAAATACAAAATTAAATGAATATCAATTTGGCATATAGTGTTACATTGATGTTAGTTCCAGAAACCCAGTTTAAACAACTGAGAATTCAAGTTACCCTTAGATCTGACATCAGCTTCTTGTCAAGCGTCTGCTCCAAGAAATGAGAACTGACTTGCTCCATAGAGCCCTGTAAAAAGAATCCAAAACAAACTGAACATTTTTCAAGATCTGAACATTATCTCAATAATCAAAGTTTCAGTCAATGTGTAAAGATAACATTATTCTTGACATTAAAGATGCCTATGGATTCTGAATCAGCTGGAAAATAATAAAAATATTAGCAACGGCTACTGCCTAAATGGAGTTCATTGTGTCATGCACTAAGTGCTTTATACATACATTAACTCATTTGGTCCCCCTCCAAAATAAATACTATTATCAGTCCCAATTTTATTTGTTTTAAAATTTTTTAAATTGATTTTTAGAGAGAAAGGAAGGGAGAGGGAGAGAAATATTCATGCGAGAATGAAACATCAATCGGCTGCCTCCTTCACATCTCACAATGGGGATCGAGCCAGCAACCCAGCATGTGCCTGACTGAGAATCAAACACCCAACCAACTGAGCCACACCAGCTAGAACCAAAACAAAGTTTTAAAATGTGAATTCAAAAATAAAATCAATAACAACTGGTTTAACTCAGTGGTCAGCAAACTCATTAGTCAACAGAGCCAAATATCAACAGTACAATGATTAAAATTTCTTTTGAGAGCCAATTTTTTAAACTTAAACTTCTTCTAACGCCACTTCTTCAAAATAGACTCGCCCAGGTCGTGGTGTTGTGGAAGAGCCACACTCGAGGGGCCAAAGAGCTGCATATGGCTCGCAAGCCACAGTTTGCCGACCACGGGTTTAACTCTGTATTTTATTATAAACAAGCAATCTATATATAAAAAAGCAAAGCAACAGAACATGAAACAACTGGAACAACCAAAACGACCAGTTGCTATGACACATACTGTGGTGGCCAACTGGCCCAATCAGGGCCCTAATCAGCCTCTCCCCCTGCTAGCCGTCCTGATCGGCACCCCCACCCCAATCGGGGGCAAGGCCGGTCAACCAACCTCCCACTTCTCCTTCCCTATCCCCAATAGGCCCCCATTGTGGCAGGCCAACCAGAGCCCACCAGTGCGTGAATTTGTGCACCGGGCCTCTTGTATAATTTATAAGCAAAAAATACTGAAATCATCAAAATTCTTTATTATTCCATAAAAATGCTTCACACATTTTTAGCAATTACCCCATAAATACTGGTCATAGAAATAGGGCTATCCTTGGATCTGTGTCCAGTACAGTCATGTCCAAAGTAATTAGCCAACAATTTTATCAAGACTGGCAGTGTTAGAGGCCCTCAAAAAGAAAGTGTCCAAAAAGAATCTCAGATTTTCTTGCTGTAATATTCACAAAAATTTATAGATACGCGTGTGCGCGCGTGCATACACTATAACAACCCCCACTATCTCACATAGAATACGTTACAATTTATAGTTTCTCATTTGAGCATCATGACAACTCAGTGAGGTAAATATGAGAGATATTATAACCCTCTTAATAGATGAGGAAACCAAAATTAAAGTCAAGTGACATCTCAAAGATAACACAGAAATAAAATAAGGCTATTATTAGGTCAACACTCCTTTTATAGAATAATTCCATCTCCGAAAAGTTAACTTTATATATATATATACATACATACACACACACTCTGAATCCCCAAAGGCAAAACAGTAGAGTACCAGGTTAAAAGTCAGGAGATTAGTATCTGAATCCCATTCCACAACTTTCTATTTGGATTAGTTGAATTTAAATAGAATTGTCTTTAAAACTCTTTCTAGCTCTAAAAAACTATACTTCTCCATTGGAAAGTGAGCTATTTCTTTATATATTAAGAAACACTAGCATTTCTAATAGTGGGCTATCCCTACCTGTAGTTTCTCAAAATGTTTATATAAGTATAACAGGCAACCTGTTCACTAAGAAACTGTAATGTGCAGGGCCAACGTGGCTCAGTGCTTAAGCGTCAACCTATGAACCAGAAGGATATGGTTTGATTCCTGGTCAGGACACATGCCAGAGTTGTGGGCTCAATCCCCAATGTTGGGAGTGCTGAAGGCAGCCAATCAATGATTCTCTCACATCAATGATATTTCTATCTTTCTCCCCCTCTTCCTTCTCTTTAAAATAAATAAAAACATAGTTAATAAAGAAATAAGTGTAACTTACCAATAGCTTTGCAGCTTGAACTCGAACCACCCAGGATCCATCACTGACCATGTGACAAATTTTCCCAAAAGCATCATCAACTAAGCGAATTTCTTCATTAGAAGATGGGATTGGGACAATGCTAAATTAAAAGAAAAAAACACAAAACGTAAGTCTAAAGCTTCAGGTTCAATAAACTGGGAATGATAAACAGCACAAGTAGAGATGATAATTAATAATTAAAATCCTAGAATGATGAAATACATTTCATAGTAAACAAATGACTCTGAGAGTATAAACCAACCCTTTTAGTTGTGCTGCAAACTTTCAATGTCTTGAATAAAAATGTTTAACTTATCAGAGGTACAAAGATTTATGAAGATACCAAAAACTTGCTACCAGATTACTTTAAATCTGTTTATTCCATATTTTCATTGCTGTCAATATAGTAAATCTTATAATAAATAAGTATGAAACATACTTGTATATCTGGTCCTAAAGAGAGAGGCAAATTCCAATGTCTTTTTTTTTTTTTTAATATATTTGTCTTTCCACCTCCCAGAATCACTGTGAGAATGATTTGATTACTGCAAAAATGTTTTTAACCAGGAAAACACCACATAAGGGATCATTATCCTCAAACTGCCTATTATCTTTATCTAGTATTTGTCTTTACTAAAATGGGCCCCAAACAATTTTAAAGATTTTTAAAAGGTGGGGTAGAGGTAAGGAGGAAGCTGCAAAATACTCAAGACAGTCCCATCCCTTCATTTAACTTTCATTTACAAAAGAGGAGGTTGGGATGCAGAGAGATGAAGTGTCTTCCAAAGATACAAAGAAAGAATGGCAGATCTAAAGAATCAGGACCAGATACCCTAATTTCCAGGGTCTGTACTTTCTTCCTATTTCACACTACCTTCAAAAAATCTAACCAATTTTTTTTTTGATGGAGGGGGGAGGAGAGAAAAATGGCTTAGCAATGAATGAAAGCCGGCTTACACCCACACTGACCTTTCAGGATAGAGCTGACTGACAACCCAGATAAGCTGGACTGCAGCACTGCGCACTTGTTCATAGTCATCAGAGAGCAATTTACATGCCTGCAAACAAGGAGTCCAAAAGTCTATTAGTTTTGTGTGTCCCCCAGGTGATGTTTAAACTATTTTCCCAATGAAGACAGGGCGGCTGGCTAAGGATGCTAATCATAAAACCTGTGGGTGGTTTTAACTACTTGAGCCTTTGCCCAACAAAGAATTCTTGGCTTCTGTCGCTCTGTGTTCTGATTGAGCCCTCTCATCTCTGGAAGCAGAACCATAGCCTGAGAGCACAAACACCATCTAAAACAGCACAATTCCAGCAAAGCCTTCTGGAAGCCCACGTTGCTGCTCTCAAAGGCTCAAACATCAGAGATGGTTTTTGCCTATCTGTGAAATAAAAACACAAATTTCTGATGGACAATTTTTCTGAAATAACCGCACAATTTTAATGTTAAGCTGCCAAAAGAGGCTAGATTTTTTCTGTTTTACTTTGGCCTGAAATGGCATATCTCTACTCCACCCACAGTCATAGCAACACCCTTGACTTCAACAACATCCAGAACTACTCCATGACTGAGATTTTAAAACCCTAAATTCCATGCTCTGACCAGAACTTGCTATCCCACCAGCTCTTCCTTTTCCATGACTAATCTTAACCCATTACACCTACTCCTCAATACCACTTAACCTACTAAGAGGGTTAACTTGAAACGCAGGCAGATAGAGCAGGGGTCCAGGGAAAAACAAAGGCAGGAGGAACGTAGGCAGGCTGACACAGCAGTTTGAGCAGCCTAATCACAGAAACCAACCAAGCAGAAATAATAAAATGTTTCTGGACTCAAAGCGGGAGGCAGGGGAAAACAAGGGAGGGCCTGCAGCAACAAGGTGTAGGAATGCATAGAAACAGAGTAAGTTCAGCATAAGAACAGAGAAAGAACACAGAAACAGGGAAAGTTCAGATTCATTGCTGGGCGAGAATAATTGAGGGAATCAATTAGGTGACAACATGGATAGATATAGGAGCAAGCTTGCAGCAAATACACACTCCTGAACTACAAGGCTTTACCGGGCAGACCATTATTGGGTGCCACTCCCCATGAGGGGACTCTGAATCTGCTTGCAATAAATTTTCCACACTTTTGCTTAAATCTTCTGGTCCATATAGCTCATGATTCTTCAGCATCATGAGACACAATCCCGGGAAAAACCCTTGGCTCACTGTTCTGTTTATCATTACTTACCGGTACCCATTTAACCAGGAGTTCTCAATCTCGTGCTACTGACAGTTTAGACTGAATAATTCTTTGTGAGGGGCTGTCCTGTGCATTGTAAGATGTTTAGGAGTATCCCTGGCTTCTACTCACTGGATGGTTGTAGCACCACCCCTTTCTCCTCTCCCCAGGAGTTGCAACAGTCAAAAATAACTCCTGCCCTAGCTGGTTTGGCTCCGTGGATAGAGCGACAACCTTCAGACTAAAGGGTTGCAGGTTCAATTCCAGCCAAGGGCACATGCCCAAAGGGCAGCATGTGGCTCTCGAGTCGTGGTTTGCCAATTACTGCCCTAACCTTGCCCAAAATAATCCACTTTTAAAATTTCCTTGCCCCATCTTCTTTCTGCCTACAAAAACCTCCCACTTTGTACAACTCCTCAAAACATCTTTCTATTTACTATATGGGATGTTGCCCAATTCATGAATTACTAATATTCAATGACTTCAATAAGATCTTTAAATATACCTGGCTGAATTTGTTTTTTAACACTACTTAACTGATACAGTCTTATGCCACTAAACATATCAATCATCTGGCTAATCTTTCTTCCTCTGAGTCCTGACTTGCCAAGTTTCCTTTAATTATTTGGCTTCCCAATAGTTTTATAATAGGGAGAGAAGAGGCCAGTTGCGTCAAAACAGCCATTCTGAACTCATTCTACTTCATTTTTTTAAAGAATAAACTTGGTATGCACATCAGTCATAGAGGCTTGCCTAATGATCATCTTCCTCTGAAAGATAAACCCACTTTGATAGCCTAACAAAATCTGGTCTCTGAGCATGGATTTAGATTGCCTGTCTCTAGACTCTTACAATTATACTATAAATTCATTGTGCCTCTCTTTACCAGTACTACAATCATTTGATAACTTTTCATATGATCCTGGGTCTTGGTCATCCTCCAGTTTGTCAAGTGTGGTGCCCAGAACTGACTTCAGGTTTAGCCCAAGGAACCAGAGATCAGCAAGAATAGCACTTTCCTTATTCTGAACACTACACTTCTCTTTGTATACTCTGATATTTATAATGCGCTACCTAAATCCTCCTAAAAGTCCTTTTCATATAGAGGAGAGCTATTCAATTACATAAACCCATTTTCTTCTTAGAATGTATGTTCTGAATACAACCTCACATTCATCCCAATTAATATTACCTCTATTAGTTAGCTGAAGCTCTGTTTTCAAATCCTGACAACTAATATGCCACCCTCCCAGTTTCATACTTCCCATTCCTTGCAGATAGTAATTTAAAGTACCTGATTATAAATTGTTTGGTGTAATTTCAGTCCTCTTTCATGAAGTTGCAACTGTAAAATAAAGATAGTGTTGAAGTATTTTTGGGGGAATGTCTCCTCACAATATCAAATACTGTCCTGCATTATATCAGATTAACATGTTTCCATTAGCCAAAATCAGTGCTATCTATATAAATAAGAAGCCTGGTCAAAAGACTTCTTAGTAGACATATTAAAACACTTAATAAATCTAACCCATGGACTCTTCCAAAGAGATATTAGAAAAATATGAAACAATTATAAGAAGGCTGAGGAAGACATGATTAGCACCATTTCCTCCCAAAAAGCACCCCCTCACCCTGGTAAATTTCTCCTATATTTCTGAAACATGGAAGGTACAACCTGAACCTCCTGGAAAACAATACGCAGAGGGGGTGGTGCTGCCATGTTTCAAAAATACAAGTGAAAGCTACCAGAGAAGCCCAAAGCAAAGCACACCTGTTATGCAGAAATGTGTGCCTTTTGAGCCCTGTAATGCCACCAACACCTTCCTGAAAAGTATGGATCAGGTGTATCCTGGGGGAATTCTGAATGTATCCAAGGCAGCATTGGCCATGTACAAATGAAAACAGACAAACAAACAAACAAACAAAGCTGTCCCAATTTAGTTCCTGTGATCATGTTTACCATAGCTTTTATAGCTGCTGTTCTGACACGCGAATCTTGGTCACTGAAGTAATCCCCTATAATTTTCTGGACATCTCTGACAGCTACGCCTTCTGCATCCTTTGTGACACTTTTCTCCAAAGAGCCAAGATTGCCAAGTAATTGCAAGCACTTATTTCTTACACCATGGGAAGTATCTGTCAGGTGCTATAAAAACAAAAGAGAGAAAAAAAAGGAGATGATTAAGTTATCTTTAAAACAAAACAAACAAAAACCAGAAACAAAAGCATTCTATCAGCTTTAGGAATGACTTGGAACACTATATTCTCACCATAGCCTGTATAGAATCATGTTGCTTGAGTATGGTCATAAGTCCTTAGAAAATAAAAAATAAGGCACCCTTTTGTTCAACACAGTAGTTCAATCATTCTGCCTTGCAAAGGTAGGAGTGGGTACTTTAAAAAAGTCCCCTAGTCCGACAAGTGTGGCTCAGTGGTTGAGCATCGACCTATGAAGCAGTAGGTCACAGCTCGATTCCTGTGGTGGGAGTACATGACTGGATTACAGGCTCAGTCCCTAGTTCGGGACAGGCAGGAGGCAGCCAATGATACTCTCTCATGATTGATGTTTCTCTCTTTCCCTCTCCCTTCCTGTCTCTGAAATCAATAAAAACATATTTTAAAAAATTACCAGTAAGAGGTACATATGGAAGAGTGTATAATTTAAATAACATGATTTACTTTTTTGTTGTTGTTAATACTCACACCAGTATATTTTTCCATTGATTTTTTTTTTTTTTTTTTAGATAGAGTAGAAGGGAGGGGGAGAGACAGAGAGAGAGAAAAACACTGATGTGAGAGAGACACATTAACTAGCTGCCTCCAGCACATGCCCCAACCAGAGCTGGGGATTGAGCCAGCAATCAAGGTACATGTTCTTTGCTGGAATCAAACCTGAGACCTTTCAGTCCACAAGCTGATGCTCTATCCATTGAGCCAAACTGTCTAGGGCTTTTTATTTACTGCACATTGAAAGGAAATTAATTAGAAGAAATATTTTAATATCACTATCACCCTTTCTCTACAATAGAAGTGTCAACCAAATTCACAATCGACAATGACAGACTGAAACACATGCATGTGATTGGCGCCAGCAAGAGCTTTACTAGTGTATGTATTGTGCATGCACGAATCAACATTTTTAAACTGGTGCACGAAGTGGGTTCCCTCTGCCTGGCCTGCACCCTCTTGCAATCCGGGACCCCTCGGGGGATGTTGGGGAGCCAGTTTCCACCTGATCCCCATAGGCCAGGCTGAGGGACCCACTTGTGCATGTTCCTTGCACCAGGCCTTTAGTATGCATGTAAGACTTTTGGTTAATCTCTTCCCGCTCTTCCCACTCCTTCCTACCCTCTGAGATTCATCAGTCTGTTCCATTTTTCCATACCTGTATATTGAGCATCTGCCTCCTGGTGGTCAGTGTGCATCATAGCTACCAGCGATTGAAGATTGCCATTGCACGTCTTATGTACCCCCCGGCTGGTCAATTGGTCAGGCCTGGTGCATGAAATTTGTGCACATGGGGGAGGGGGGATCCCTCAGCCCAACCCGCACCCTCTCTAATCTGGGACCCCTCAAGGGACATCCCTCTCACAATCCAGGACTGCTGGCTCCCAACTGCTCTCCTGCCTACCTTCATGATTGCCCCTAACCACTTCTGCCTGCCAGCCTGAGCACCCCCTAACCACTCCCCTGACAGCCTGATTGATGCCTAACTGCTTGTCTGCCAATCTGATCTTCTGCCTTCCCTTGCAGGCCTGATCCCTCCCAACTGCCCTCCCCTGATGGCCATCTTGTGGTGGCCATCTTGTGTCCACATGGACATCTTGTGTGTTTGAGTGATGGTCAATTTGCATATTACTTTTATTAGATAGGATTTTTTTTAATGTATTTTTATTGATTTTTTACAGAGAGGAAGGGAGAGAGATAAAGAGCTAGAAATGTCGATGAGAGAGAAATATCGACCATCTGCTCTTGCACACCCCCTACCGGGGATATGCCCACAACCAAGGTACATGCCCTTGACCGGAATCGAACCTGGGACCTTTCAGTCTGCAGACCGATGCTTGACCGCTGAGCCAAACCGGTTTTGGCTTATTAGATAGCATTTTAAAAATGGTTACAATATAAACTTCCAATAATACAAGAAAGTTAGGTAAAGTGTAGCTTAATTATTTAACAAAATATCATGTATCCATTAAAAACATTTACAACATAAGGAAAATATTTCTGCTTTAATGTTAGTGAAAGAGCAAAAGCAATATATGATTACAGCTATGTGTTTAAAAAAATAGCAAACAGCCCAGTTTGGCTCAGTGGATAGAGCTTCGGCCTGCAGACTGAAAGGTCCCAGGATTGAATCCTGTCAAGGACACATGACCAGGTTTGGGCTTGATCCTCAGGAGGGGGCGTGCAGGAGGCAGCTGATCTTTGAGCTGATCCATGAGACCAATGATGTTTCTCTATTACCAATGTTTTTATCTCTTTATCCCTTCCCCTTTCTCTCTCTCTAAAAATCAATAAAAATATTAAAAAATAAAATACACACGTGCAATTAAATTATTAAAAAATAAAGTTAATGCCAAAACTGGTTTGGCTCAGTGGATAGAGCATCAGCCTGCAGACTGAAAGATCCCAGGTTCGATTCTGGTCAAGGGCATGTACTTTGGTTGCAGGCACATCCCCAGTAGGAGGTGTGCAGGAGGCAGCTGATCGATGTTTCTTTCTCATCGTTGTTTCTGACTATCCCACTCCCTTCCTCTCTGTAAAAAATCAATAAAATATATATTTAAATAAATAAATAAATAAATAATAAAATTAAAAATAGCAAACAATCTGTATGCAGGAGAATTATCAGAAAGCAATACATCAAAAGACTAATAATGGTCACCTTTGGGTAGTGAATTATGAGTGTTGTTTTTTCTTTATGCTTTTCATTATCTTTCCAAAGTTTCTACGAATATAAATTTTTATAACAAAAAATTTATTAAAATAAAATTTAAGAAATTTCTATTTCAAGTGTAACAATCCACTTAGCACAACACTTGCCTCACGAGCATGACCTCATCAATACAAATAAATATATACATATGTGGAGATATACTTATTCTCAAACATACAACCCCTAGTTTATTCCATGTAGCCTCTTAATATTATACTTGTCAAAGTGTTTTGTGTTTGTCGCTGTTTACTAAGAAAACTGAAGCACTCTTTCCTGGGACCCAGAAATAGTGTTCTAATGTTATGACTATAATACTCTTCTACAATTCTAACATATTTGTCTTCTAACCTCAAAATCAATTTATCACAAAGATGAAAATTAAAACCAATTCTACAAGTTTAGGAGCTGCTGTTATGTACAAAAGGCAGCTAATTAAAAGCTCTAAATTAAATCAAAAGGCACAAAATAATGTATTTATTTTATAAACAGAAAAAATAAACTTAAAAGAGAAAAGCCTTTCCCCAACAGTATTATAGTTTGGGTCTAGTTGTTCTGTTCACTGAGGCAACAAGGCACAATAAAAAGAACATGGGCTTTGGAACCAGCAAAACCAGAGTCCATACCCTGGTTCTGCAACTTCCTAGCCATGAAAACTTGGACAAGTTAAACTCCCTGCACCTCTATTTCCACCTTTATAAAAGTACTTTGCCTAAAGGACTGAGAAGAAAAACTGAAAAACTGGACATAAGGTACCATAATAAGGAGAGCACTTTTATTTGGCACAGTGTACATGATAGCTACTACAATTATTTTCTTTTCTTTTGGGAAAAAGAGGAAGTTTATTTTCTAACAAGTTATTCAACTTTATTCCTAATCCAATATCATGAAAAAACAACATGAAATAGTTCTTAAAACCACTGGGAGTCCTTGACAATTTTCAGTTACAAATTTACATTTGTAGATCTAAGCAGGTCTTATAGCTCATACCAACAGGTAATGCAAAACTGTTCAAAAAAGAAACAACCCTCTATCTAATCATTACACTCTTACCTTGCAGGCTACATCAACTATTCGCATCTGGATAGCTTGATTCTCTGAGAGTTTAGTGCCAATTGCAAGCAAAGTGTCCAACAGTTGAGCTAGGACTTGATGAGACTCTAGAAAGAAAGATAAGTTGTGGTGTAGAATTTCAAAAAGAAACTAAGTTTACTTGGGTAAAGACTGTAGACTTTTTTGTCAGCTAAGTTCTACTATTTGATCTTTGATTCCCCTCAACTTAAAGCTAAGTTCCTGAGGGTATCATATCTAAATATTTGAATCCTCCACAGTTTGGTCAAAGTGCTCTCCAAATGTTTAGTACTTGACTATTTCAAGGGCTTTTCACTACCATCAAGGTACAGTCCAAATTCTTTAGCAGGCAAACATACATATATACAATACAACGTCTAGCCCTGCTTGCCTTTTTCCAATTACTTAGCTTTCATGTCCCCCTATCTTTGCTCAGGACAACTTCTCTACCTAGAATGACTTCGTCCACACTCAACTCCATTCTCAGCCCATTCTGAGGAAGATATTAATCTTGCAAAGTCACCTCCTCCATGAAGCTCTTCCTCTTCCCCAAGAATGGACCATTTCCTCCTCCATGCTTCCACTGCACCCTCTACATCAGCTGTATCTCTTTACTATACTTACTTATTTTTACATCCGATTAAAACAGGAAAGTAAAAGAACCTTGAGAGCAAAGATAGCATTTTATTCACTTCCGTATTCTCAGGATCTAGAATAATTCATTAAATGTTCAATCAATGTTTAATAAATGGGCAAAAAGCCAAATCCAAATAAATCAATACCAATCATCTTAGCCAGATTTTCTTCTTTGTTCAAAAATATGGTTGTTGTATGCTTGTAGTATACAAGTGGATTTTAAATGGCTTTCAAATCATCATGTAGATATGTTAATGTGCATAATAAAAACTGCAGTTACTATCTACTGATGTCATGTGTCACTATTTTCCTTTTAACATTTCTAATATAATGAGCCCCTTTAATTTTATTGAACTAAAAAAATTGTCTACTTAAGAGAAATACTAAGTAAACCAAAGTATAGATGTGAAGCAAATATACAAAAACTAGAGGCTCAGCCGAAACCGGTTTGGCTCAGTGGATAGAGCGTCAGCCTGTGGACTGGAAGGTCCCAGGTTCAATTCCGGTCAAGGCTATGTACCTTGGTTGCGGGCATATCCCCAGTAGGGTGTGTGCAAGAGGCAGCTGGTGGATGATTCTCTCTCATCAATGTTTCTAACTCTCTATCCCTCTCTCTTCCTCTCTGTAAAAAATCAACAAAATATATTTTTTAAAAAACAACAAAAAAAAACAACAACTAGAGGCTCAGTGTAAGATATTCATGCACCGGGAGGGGTGGTGTCTCCTCAGCCCGGCCTGCACCCTCTCCAATCTGGGACCCCTGCCTGCCTGCCTGATCGCCCCTAACTGCTCCCCTGCTGGTCTGACCACCCCTAACTGTCTCTGCCTTACCCCGCATCCGGGACCTAGGATTCCCTCCTCTGGCTAGTTGCAGGTACCCAGGTCCCAGGCTTCCCTCCCTCTGGCCGGCCACAGGCACCCAGGATTCAGGCCGGCTTCGCCTGGGCCAGCCACAGCCGCAGGTGCTTAGGATCTCAGAGTGGGCAGCTTGTCCCTCTCCCTGGCCACAGGCACAGCCACTGGCACCCGGGACCATGGGGCATGCCGCTTGTCCACCTCCCAGGCTACAGGCACAGCCGCTGCCGCTGATGCTCAGGACCACAGAGCGGGCAGCTTATCCCTCTCCCAGGCTGCAGCCTGGCTGGTCCCCATTTTTTTCTCCCCAGTATTCAGTCTGAGCCATTACAGCATTACAGCATGAGGAAGTGACAACCATTTGCATGTTAACTCTTTATTACATAGGATGGTATACATGATATATAAATGACTAAAGCTCCGAAAATACTGGTTAAATCACCTCTTAGTAAGATTTCTGGTCTTTCTCTCACATCAATGTCTCTCTCTCTCTTTCTTTCTCTCTCTCTCTCTAAATCAATAAAAACATGTCCTCAGGTTCAATTCCTGGTCAAGGACACATACATCTATTGCAGGTTCCCTAACCCCAGTTGTGTGCATAGCAATCGATGTGTCTCTCCCTCTTCCCCTCCTTCCTCCCTCTTACTTTCTCTGGAAATCAATGGGAAAATATCATCAGGTAAGAATTAAAAAAGAAAGTCTTTGGTAGAAATTCAACACAATTACAATTTTGGTATAAAGGTGTTTCTAACAAAATTTTTTTAAAGTTTTCAAATTTAGCCAATGAGCCACATATGTTAACATTAAACAGCTGTACAATAAAAAAGTTTAGATTGTCTCTGAATTCATTGGCCCTTTATTTCTCTCATATGTTGTCCAATATTTAAATAGTCACATTTGTTTATAAATGTACTAGAGGTCCAGAGCATAAAAATTCATGCACTGTAGGGGGATCCCTCAACTTGGTCTGCCCCCTCTCACAGTCCAGGAGCCCACAGGGGCGGGAGGTGACTCAACAATCAGTGGAAGGCAATGCCCAATCACACCTCTGCTGCTGCCACTGATGGCAGTGCAAGCCTTTGCTGGCCCTGGTTACCTGCACCTCGGGCCAACCTTGGGCAGCTGGGCAGCTGAGGGGACTGAGGACTCCAGAGGCAGGTGCACAGAGCAGCCAGGCCCACGTAGGGCCAGGCCTGGCCTTGCCACGTGCCTGCTACTCCCGCAGAGCTGAGGGGACTGGGCACTGCCATCTTGTGGCTGTGGGCACCGCCATCTTTGAGGGTGTGGCAGTCAATCAGCATATTCCCTCCTTATGGCTGTGGGTGCCGGCATCTTTGAAGGCAGGGTAATCAATTAACATATTCCCTTTTTATTGGCTGTGGGCGCCACCATCTTTTGCAATGGTGTGAGGGTCAATTAGCATATTCCCTTTTTATTAGATAGGAAACAGAAAATAAAACTATTCTCTAAAACCGCAACTAATTCAAACAAATTACAATATTTTCAGAAATAGCAAAAGATTTTTCTTTTTTTTTTGCTATTAAGATTTCTCTTTTTTATTTCTTTTCTTTTTTAAAAAATATATTTTATTGATTTTCTACAGAGAGCTAGAAACGTCGATGAGAGAGAAACACTGACCAGCTGTCTCCTGCACCTCCCTGGTGCCCGCAACCAATATACATGCCCTTGACCGGAATCGAGCCTGGGACCTTCCAGTCCGCAGACTGACGCTCTATCCACTGAGCCAAACCGGTTTCGGCAAGATTTCTCTTTTAATATGCCATGATATATATGTGTGTGTGTGTGTGTGTGTGTGTGTGTGTGTGTGTGTGTGTATTCCCCTCACCCAAGGATATGTTCATTAATTTGAGAGGAGAGAGAGAAAGAGAGAAATATTAATCTGTTGCTCCCATACACACTGGACTGGGGATTGAACCTGAAACCTAGATATATACCCTGATGGGGAATCGAACCTGCAACATTTTTGGTGTGCAGGTCAACACTCCAACTAAGCCATCCAGCCGGAGCTGCCATAAGATATATTTTAAAAATGTTTTTTAAACTGATTTTTAGAGAGAGGAGGGGAGAGAAAGAGAGAGAGAAAAAGAGAGAGAAACATCTAACATTGCCTCCCACACTTGCCCCAACTGGAGATTGAACCCAAAACCTGGATATGTGCCCTGACTAGGAATTAAACCCTCCACCTTTTGGTGTATGGGACAATGCTCCAACCAACTGAGCAACACCAGTTAAGGCCAAGGAACTTTCTTTTTATGTAATTTTAAACTAGAGGCTCAGTGCATGAAATTCATGCATGGGGTATGGGGATAAAGGGAGCTCCCTCAGCCCAGCCTGCACCCTCTTGTAATCAGGGACCACTGGCTCCTAACTGCTCGCCTGCCTGCCTGATCACCCCTAACCACTCACCTGCCTCCCTGATTGCCCCTAACCACTTGCCAGCCTGCCTGATGACCCTAACTACTTACCTGCCTGCCTCACTGCCCCTAACTGCTTGTGTGTCCTGCCTTCCTGTTCAGTCCTAATCACTTGGCTACCTGCCTGATCGCCCCCAACTGCCTCTGCCTGTCTGCCTGGTCACCCTAACTACTCTACCTGCCTGATCACCCCTAACTGCTCACCTGCCGCCTGATTGCCCCTAACCACTCTGCCTACCTGCCTGATCACCACTAACCACACTATCTGTCTGCCTGCCTGATTGCCTCTAATCACTCTGCCTGCTTGCCAGATTGCCCCAAACCACCTCTGCCTTGGCCCCCACCACCACAGCTTGATGTGGAATGATGTCCGGAAGATCGTACAACTGTCCAGTCTAATTAGCATATTAAACTTTTATTATTATAGATAGTGAGGTAATTGATTCACTAACTCTATAAAGTAATCTTGTACATTACAAAAAAACCAGAAAAAAAAAAACAACAGTAAAAAGGTGAAGTATTTTCCCATTTCACCTAAACACAAAAATAATGTTATTGGACATCAACAAACAACAAACAGAAAAGTAATAATAATATGTGAGACCTAGGAGATGTCACTTTTACAGGGACAGAACTCAGAGACCACATATGACCAGGACAGCACCTCTCATGGTTGCTGAGTTAATGTGCACAGTCACCTAAACATCATCTCTGTCCCATACGACTTAACCTTTAATAAGTTAACTTCTCTGAAATTCAGTTTTTCCACCTTTAAAATAAGGCCAATGACATCTATCTTCTATCATTTGAAAAATACTTTAAGCATATGGCACTAGGTGCATGTCAATAAATGATAGCTATTAAGAGAAAAACTACATTTTCACTCTAATGTAAGTATATGTACGTAAGTTTTATTGAATCATCCTCAAATTCCTTTTTAATACCAACACAACAATACTCTGTTTTAAATTCTATACAAAAGGAACTAAAGATTTCTGCTCTAAGTGTACAGCTTTTAAATTGCCACTTACTTTCATTCTGCAGGATGTTAATGGCATCATCCATAATACAGTCTGGAGAAAATCCTGCAGTCTTTGACAATAATCCCAATAATGAAGCAATTTTCAGTCTCACAGATGGATCATTTTCCTGGAACAAAAAAAGCTATTGTTACCTTGATACTCTCCTCTCAGCTAATCAAAAACAGAACATGAGAAACTAACATTTCAAAAGAGATTCAATGATCCAAGTATTCAAAGGCTTTAACTTTATAAATTTCAGAGGAGCTTTCTTAATCAGTATCTTACACCCAATACAAAAAAATGAGTAAGATATTTTTTTTATGCCTTCCTTATGTCATTAACTTCTAACCAAAAATGTGCTTTTGGGATTAAAAGTACCTTTTCTTTCCTGTGCAGTTACACATGAGTTGCACCAATCTGTACTACCAACACTGCCAGCACTGGCCACCCAATGCTGCTGCCAGCACCTTGCTCTTGGAGCCCCTGGAAATTGGGTGCTGTAGCCACCAATGCTATTACCAGAAAAAAAAATTTTTTTTTTTAATTTAAAAAAAATAAATTTTATTGTTTTATACAGAGAGGAAGAGAGAGGGATAAGAGTCAGAAACATCAATGAGAGAGAAACATTGATCAGCTGCCTCCTGCACACCTCCTACTGGGGATGTGCCCGCAACCAAGGTACATGCCTTTGACTGGATCAAACCTGGGACCTTTCAGTCTGCAGGCTGATGCTCTATTCACTGAGCCAAACCAGTTAGAGCAAAAAAAAATTTTAGTCTACTTGGTTTTTTTTTGATCACCAGATCCTCATTAGAAGATTGGGGCAGGTAAATCTAATTAACTGGGTCTAGATCTATGTGCCTGGACTGTAGGTACAAGCAAAACTGAGAAATGAGTGGTCTGGTCCTTTTAGTTTTAATATTGGGAGATGGTCTCTAATTTGCACAAAGATTCTATGGTGAGAAATTTCCCTCAAAGACAAAAAGAACCATATCCATTTGTTCATTCCCTGTTCTCAAGTACGAAGCACCCTACGTTCCTAAGGTAACTGAGCATAACAAGGAGGCATCAGTGGGGGAAGGAGCAATAGTTATAAAGTCAGAAGACCTAGAATCCTGGTACACCACTTACTATATCCTATATAATAAGTAGGTATATGCAAATTGACCATCACTCCAACACAAGATGGCCACCCCCATGTAGTCAAAGATGGCCACCCCCATGTGGACACAAGATGGCCACAAGAAAACCAACAGTGGAGGGCAGTTGTGGGCAATCAGGCCTGCAGGGGAGAGAATAGTGGGGGGGCCAAGGCCTGTAGGGGAGGGCAGTTAGGGGTGACTGGGCGAGCAGAGGAGGGCAGTTAGGGGTTTCCAGGCCAGCAGGGGATGGCAGTTAGGGACAATCAGGCCAGCAGGGAAGCAGTTAGGCGTTGATCAGGCTGGCAGGGGAGTGGTTAGGGGGTGATCAGGCTGGTAGGCAGAAGTGGTTAGGGGCAATCAGACAGCCAGGAAAGCAGTTGGGAGCCAACAGTCCTGGATTGTGAGAGGGATGTCCAACTGCCCATTTAGGCCTGATCCCACCAGTGGGTCCCAGATGGAGAGGGTGCAGGCTGGCCTGAGGGACACATATCCCCCACCCCATGCATGAATTTCGTACACTGGACCTCTAATATATATATTTTCTTGATGCACGGATTTGTGCACTGGTGGGGTCCCTTGGCCTGGCGTGCAGAGGTCGGAAACTGGCTCTCCAACATCCTCCAAGGGGTCCTGGATTGGGAGAGGGTGAGGTCAGGAAGAGGGACACCACCAGTACAGGATCCGGGCCAGGGAGGGACCATGGGAGGGCTCCAGGGCATGTCCGGCTCATCTCAGGAGTTCTGAGCTGAGGGAAGAGCATGTGAAAAGGCACTGATTTATGAAAACACACAAGGTCTTAGGATAACTGCAAGTATTTTGATTGAGCTAGAATAAAGAACCTTTTTATGTCAGACATGTAAGATTTAAATAAAGGTAGTTTATGGAAAGAAAGAGACTGAAGAGAAAAAGATAAGAAGCTTTTGCAAGCTAGGACTTCAAGACATTATATATATCCTGGAAGATGCAATATGAAACACAAATCATCTACAAAGTATTCTTAAAAGTTTCAAAAATATGCTTAGCCTGAATCTAACAAATAGATCTAACTTTTAGTTCACAGTAAATACAGGGGATAGAAAAACAAGTTCACTCCCAAAGAAGGAAACAAATTCAGAAAACAAGACATTTTACAAACAACAGGTCAATGTCACCAAAATAAAAATAAAAAATTCTTCTAGATTTAAAAAAGAGCATATATGGATATTGTTTGCATTTTGAGTGAATCTATATATATAAAAGGCTAATATGCAAAGTGTCCCCTCACGAGTTCAACCGGGAGACCAGGAGTTCGATCACTTGCTATGAAGTGCACTGATCACCGGGGGTAGCATGGAGCGAAGGAAGGTTGCAGCTGGAGGCTGGCAGCCAGGAAAAAGAGTCCCCTGTGGGCAGCAGAAGGCCCCAATCGGCCCTGATCGCCAGGCTTAGAGACCTTACCCGTGCATGAATTTCATGCACCGAGCCTCTAGTCAACTATAAAAAAATATTTTGGGAACTAAAGAAATATCAATACGGGCCAAATTATATTAAAAATTATTTAACTTTGCTTTCCACACTACCCAGGGAGGGCTCCATACAGCATTGTTCTCGGTTCCCACGTAACTTAAAGGGAAACTTCACAATGTCCGGAGCGCTTGATGTCCTGCAAATGAAGGAGGAGGATGTCCTCAAATTCCTTGTAGCAGGAACCCACTTAGGGGGCACCAACCTTGACTTCCAAATGGAGCAGTACAATTTACAAGAGGAAAAGCGATGGCATCTACATCATCAATCTGAAGAGAACCTGGGAGAAGCTTCTGCTGGCAGCTCGGGCCATGGTTGCCATTGAAAACCCAGCTGACGTCAGTGTCATATCGTCCAGGAATACTGGCCAGCGAGCTGTGCTGAAATTTGCTGCTGCCACTGGAGCCACTCCTATTGCCGGCTGCTTCACCCTGGAACCTTCACCAACCAGATCCAGGCAGCCTTCCGGGAGCCAAGACTTCTGGTGGTGACTGACCCCAGGGCTGACCACCAGCCTCTCACAGAGGCGTCTTATGTTAACCTGCCCACCACCGCTCTGTGTAACACAGACTCTCCTCTGCGCTTCGTGGACATTGCCATCCCTTGCAACAACAAGCGGGCTCACTCAGTGGGTCTGATGTGGTGGATGCTGGCCCGGAAGTACTGCGCATGCGTGGCACCATCTCCCGTGAACACCCGTGGGAAGTCAAGCCTGATCTGTACTTCTACAGAGATCCTGAAGAGATTGAAAAGGAGAGCAGGCCGCTGCTGAAAAGGCTGTGACCCAGGAGGAGTTTCAGGGTGAATGGACTGCTCCTGCTCCTGAGGTCACTGCTGCGCAGCCTGAGGTTGCAGACTGGTCTGAAGGCGTGCAGGTGCCCTCTGTGCCCAGTTAGCAGTTTCCTACTGAAGACTGGAGTGCTCAGCCTGCCCCTGAAGACTGGTCTGCAGCCCCCACTGCTCAGGCTACCGAGTGGGTAGCAACAACCACTGAGTGGTCCTAAGCTGTTCTTCCACAAATTCTTAACAGAAGGGAAATAAGGTTGATGGAAAATAAACAGTTTCGAAAAAAATAAAAATTAAAAATAAAAAAATTAAAAATAAATAAAAAATAAAAATTATTTAATTTTACTTGATGTGATTAGGTACTTATGGTTGTTTTTTATACTCCCTTTTTAAGAGATAGTAACTGAATTACTTCAGGAAAAAATAATGATATTTTAAAATCTTCAGGAAAACAAATAGAGGGAACAAGTTTGGCAAAATATGTATGTTTAATCTCAGAGATGAATATTTGGCACAGCATGTGAGTAGGCTGGAGGAAAGCACTGGAGGCAGGCATATCAGTATTTACCCAATGACCACCCAGTGTGCTGAGTTCTATGGAAGAGGAAGGGGAAATCTGGAGAAGCCAACAGAAACCCCAATCTCAACCAGGAGTCTAAACATTGTAAACTTCTGAGGGCAGGATTTATGTCTTTTTTTTTAATCTCTATCCATAGTGTTTACTACATGGAAGACACTCAGTAAAAGATTGCTGAATGAATGCCTTCTTATTTATTTTGCCACATTAACCCATTCCTCAGAGATGATACAACCCTTATCCATACTCCCATCAGGTCCACAAGACCATCTTACCTTATAATAATGTTCCAAGAGAATCCTGACTACTCCTTCCACACTTTCTGCCTCAACAGGCTTCCTGGCAAACTGAAGTAGGTACTGCAAAGCATCTGCTGGAGAAGCAGCTTTGCAGAGATCTGTGTGGAGTGCTGCAGATTTACTTGGTTTTGTTAGTCGGAGTTTCTTAGTAGTAACTTCCTCCTGTTGCTACAAAGAGGTAAGAAAGTTAAGACATGAAAACCGAACTGAAAATACAAAATCTACAATTTTACTTCACCTCATTTGATGGAAATAATTTTCCCTTATCCTATATAATAAAAAGCTAATACGCAAATCAATCGAACAGAGGAACGACCAGTAGCTATGATGCACACTGACCACCAGGGGGAAGATGCTCAATGCAGGAACTGCCCCCAGTGGTCAGTGCACTCCCACAGGGGGAGCACCGCTCAGCCAGAAGCCAGGCTCATGGGCTGGTGAGCCTAGCATCGGTGGCAGGAGCCTCTCCTGCCTCCACAGCAAGGCTAAGGACCCCTCAAGGGATGTCTGCCTGCTGGGGAGTTGGCCTAAGCCTGCAGGTGGACATCCCCCAAAGTGGTCCTGGACTGCAAGAAGGCACAGGCCAAGCTGAGGAGATGCCCCCCTCCCTTCCAGTGCACTAATGTCGTGCACCAGGAGGCCTCTAGTACCAAATAATGTTCTCAGGTAATAGAACTAGCCTTAGGACAAAGCAGTGTTATGAACTGGAAAAAGAGCACTGGATTGGGGACAGACTATGAGTCCTAATTTTGCTTTTCACTAGTTCCTATAACTCAGGACAGGTCATCTAATGTTTCCAAGTCTGTTTCTTTCTCCATAAAGTAGGTCCATTAACATTTTGTTCTGCTTACTATGGCATGATGAAAAGATCAGGGTTTTTGAAGTCAGAGGAATTTATATTCAATAACCACTTACCCATTTCCACCCTATACCACACAAATTCAGTCTTCAGAGTTATCTGGGCTGCATTTAAAAAGTTGGGAAATATTTTTTCCCCTAGAGAGTATATAAAGGGGAGGACAAACCAATATCTAATATTGATCAACCATCAATAACATTTTAGTTAGCCAGGCCCTATGGTCTCTTCAGGGGACTACAGAGATGAACTAAATATTCTCTCTGCTCTCAAAGAGCAAGACTGGTGGGAAGATATTGGTAATTATAGTAGCAGTGAGTGATAGGTGCAAATGGATGAGCACAACAGAGCACCATAGAAGCAAAGGAGAAAGAGACTAAATTCTTGCTGAAGTTTCAAGTGGGTTTTAAAGCAAAAACATAAGTGCACTGGGTGGAGAAGAAAAGGGGAAGAATGATAACCATTCTATGTAAAAGAGATTATAGGTACAAAAATTTGGATACATACAAACACATGGCATACTGGAGGAGAAGTGAGTAGTCTTGATAAATGAGAACAGAATATTGGAAAGAAAGTGACACTGCACAATATGAATGTACTTGATATCTTTTGTAACTTTGGTAACTTTTATGTTAACTTTTATGTTAGGTATACTTTAAAATGGTAACTTTTATGTTAGGTATACTTTACCACAATTTTTTTTTAAAGTGGGCAAAGGAACTGGCTCGTTTGGCTCGGTGGATAGACTGTCGGCCTAGGGAGTGAAAGGTCCCAAGTTCGATTCCGGTCAAGGGCACATGCCCAGGTTGTGGGCTCCTTCCCCAGTGGGGAGTGTGCAGGAGGCAGCCCTTCAATAGTTCTCTTTCATCATTGTTGTTTCTTTCTCTCCCTTCCTCTCTGAAATCAATAAAAATATATTTAAAAAAAAAAATTTTTAAGTGGGCAAGGGAAACATAGCAAGAAAATTCTAGAAAGCAAGCCACAGAAGAGGAAGCTCTGTCAAGTTAGAAAAGCTTTCCTTAATCTTGACTCAAATTAAAAGTTCAGGAAAACGAATTTCACATAAAAAGGAGCAAAAAAAATATATCAATGCTAAATTTCAAAGTTATTTTAAGAAAAAAAAAAAACATGAATAAGGAGCAAACTAATTTGCCTTCAGCCAATGGGAATATGCTACAAAGATGAGTCCACAAAACAAAACAGAAAGAAGGAACACTGTCAAGTTATGAAGGGCTAGGGAGCTGGCTAGGAAATTTTTATGCAAAGGAGGAGCCGAAAAAGAAGACTTGATTTGTCAGTGCAACTATTGCTCTATGGTGTAAATCCCATATATGCTGTTCTGTCTCCCACTAGCCTGTGAGTTCCTAAAGGACAGGGACTCTAATGTGTATCGTAAATTGTAGCTCAACAACTTTTACTGTACCTGATGCATAGTAACCACTCATTCACTCAACAGACTCTTGTTGAAGGAATGAATGAAGTGCTTAAGGATCAGTTTCCTGCTGGGTGGGCCGTCTTGCTACTCTACAAGTAGAGGTATCTACCTGTGACCTGTGTGGCTCTACAGATGCCGTTTATCCACTGGCACCCATGGGGGGCTTGTCAGAAATACAGACTATATTGCCTCACTTCCCCCACCGGACTTACTGAGTAGACACTACATTTTAATTGAAGCATGACACACGGGATGACTTGGTGTCAACCTCTACTTTAGCGTCATCTACGAGGAGACACATGGAGAACCCGGGACTTCTCTGACAGAGGCTGGGCCAGCAGTCCTTAAACAAGTCCAAAGGAGGAAGGTGCTGCCCTCCTTCCCAGGTGAGCTGTTCCATCGATGGGAAGCCACAGCCCTCTGAAGCCTGTGACCCTCGCCTCGCCGGCTTGGACTGGGCCTTGAGGATTTCTATAGACTTCTCTTCCAACCCCTACGAGCTCTGCATACGGCCAATTCATCCCAGGTCGTGTTCTTTTTTGTTGTTGTTGTTTTGTTTTTTTGTAACGGAGTTGGGGTGGGGGGACTCCACCACTAATTGGTTCTGTGCCCTTGTACCACTTAAGAAGCTTCTAAGTGCACATCTGTGAAACGAGGATGCTAATGCAACCTGAATAAAATAACGAGACGAAAAAGGAAACAAACAAAAAAAACCACCACATTCTCATCCATTATAAGAGCGGTTTTTGTCCTAGCTAATCTTTTTATTTTTTTAAGTACCAGACTGCACATATTAGTTCATCATCATCGTGACAACAGAAGCCGCACACGAACACGCCCACTAAAGTGTGGCCGCTAAGAGCCTATCAAAGTAGTCGGCGCCCAACTCAAGTTCGTGGCGCCAGGTCTGGAAAAGCGCCTTGGGCATGGCTGACCTTCCCCCCTATCTGCGACCGGTCTGGGGACCTTTCCTTCTGAAGCTTACCTGAACCACCTTAGTGAACTCCTCGTACACCCGCTTCTTCAGGTGCGCCGCCATGGCTGCCAGCGGACCCTGTCAGCTTCCGTACTCGGCGAGGAGCGGGGAGTGACGTAGGGGGGGCGTGATAAAGGAACCCGGAAAACCTGCCGGGGCCAGAGGAACCCGCCACCGTCCCACAAGGCAGTGGGATCACCGGAAAGAGAGGCTGCTTCCGGTGGCTCGATTGCTCCGCCGCGGTGACGTCGGGATTGGGCCGCCTAGGCCAGGTGCGCCGGCGGAACAGAAACCAGAGCGTAACGTGAGGGGGCGGAGCCTATGGGGACGGGCGAGCCAATGGGAGGAGCTTTTGGGGGCTGGCTGGCGGCCGCGGAACTGAGCGGAGGGAGGAAGGAAGGGCTAGGTAAAGCGCAAAGGCGGGGCGAATTAGAGCTGGAAGCCAACCCCTGAGCTGCCTAATGATTTTGACTACGGAGATAACGGGAAGAGTCCCGGCTGACGTTCCCGTAGTTATTTGCTGTTCACGGTGTTTGCTGCTTTTGTATTTATTCCTCTTTCTTTCGGATAGTGTGTGTGGCGCCCCTCCCCTGGCCTGGGTTGCTTTTTTCCTGCTTCTTCACACCCGTTGCTCAAAAGCTATGTATCCTTCAAGGCAGTGTTTCCCAAACTTCTCTCATGATGAGAATCACCTGGTGGAGTTGTTAAACTACAGATTCCTGAATCACAACTAAGAAGTGCTAAACTAGAATTTTTGGGAACATATAGGTAAAAATTGTCTACTTAACTAGTGCTCTGTTTTAACTGATAGTCTTTTTTTTTTTAATATATTTTATTGATTTTTTACAGAGAGAAGGAGAGAGGGATAGAGAGCTAGAAATGTCAATGAGAGAGAAACATCGACCAGCTGCCTCCTGCACACCCCCTACTGGGGATGTGCCCACAACCAAGGTCACCGGAATCGAACCCGGGACCTTTCAGTCCGCAGACCGACGCTCTACCACTGAGCCAAACCGGTTTCGGCTTAACTGATAGTCTTATGCCTGTACCTGACACACTCTGTCTTAGAGCACCAAGACACAGAAGACCCCAACATGCATTAAAAGATGGTCTTTACTTACCCTCAGGGTCCTACAGTCTAACTGGGAAGGGAAACACGCAAGCTGATAATTAGTGGGCATTCAAAGTGTGATGGATAAACAGAAGAATGTGGTTCGGACAGACTTTCTTCAGGATATCTTAGGGAAGTTTTACAGCAGGAAGAATTTAAAATCTGGCTTTAAAATACAGGTATATCTTGGAGATACTTTAGATTTGGTTCCAGGCCTCTACAATAAAGCGAGTATTGCAATAAAGCAAGTCACTTGAAGTTTTGGTTTCCCAGTGCATATAAAAGTTATGTTTATACTTTACAGTAGTCTAAATGTGCAGTAGCATTATGTCTTAGACAAGCTACTGTCTGAATTTAAAAATACTTCATTGCTTTAAAAATGCCATCATCTGAGTCTTCAGGCAAGTAGTAATCTTTTTACTGGTTGGAGGGTTTTCAATTTGTAAGAAACAATAAAGTGAAGGATGATAAAACAAGATATGCCTATGGTAAATTTTTCAGGAAGAATGGCATCCCAAACCACAGAAACCACTCCATCTACAAATATATTCAGTTAAATGAAAAGCACTTAGCAAACAGTATCTTTAATAAATGTTAGCAGCTTTGGCTGGTGTGACTCAACTTGTTGTGTGTCTTTGCACCAAAAAGTTGCTGATTTGATTCCGGGCCAGGGCACATACCCGGGTTGCAGGCTTGATCCCTGTGGGAGGCCGTCGATAGATGTTTCACTCTCACGTTGATGTATTTCTCTCCCTCTCCCCTTTTTTCTCTCTCTAAAATCAATCAAAATATACTTTCAACATCAGTTATGTCATCTTAATTGTATTATGGATTTGGAAGTTGGAGGGACATACTGGAATTGCCTTTGTTTAATATACTAGTGTGGTGAGTTGGTTAGGAAGAGAGTCTGATCTTAAGGGATGCAGGCTAAAGTCAAAGCAATAAAATTAAAATAAAAATAAAAACATGGGCTGCTTCTGGCAGGGCTGGTGGAAACTTGATATGCCTCTAAAGCCCATTTGGAAACAGTATGCTCACTTCCACACATACTCCATTAACCAGATTAGGGGCATAAGGCTAAGCAGGAAGTCAGTGGGATGGGGAAGATTACTCCCATCTACTGAGAAGCATGTCAAGAACAGGGAGGGAAGCTTGGCTGTTGTCGCTTAGTGGTTAAGCATGGACCTATGAACCAGGAGGTCACGGTTTGATTCCCAGTCAGGGCACATGCCCAGGTTGCAGGCTTAATCCCCAGTGCTGGAAGCAACTGATCAGTCATTCTCTCCCTTCCCCTTCCTTCCTCTGAAATCAATGGGGGGAAAAATATTTAAGAAAAACAGGGAGGGAAGAATAGAAAACAAGCTACTACTGAAAAGCCCTTAGAGATGTGGTGACTGACACACTTTTAAGAATAGATATGTCCAGTATTCAACTTGAAGCTATTTGCATTTGCAGTGTAAACTCTCTCCCTTTTTGTCTGTGTTTCCACAGTGCTATGTGCACAAATAACTCATGGGAGTGGAATTTGCAAAAATTAAGAAAAATACCTGAGTCCAGGCCAAGTAGGTCAGTTAGTCAGAGCATCATCTCAATATGCCACGGTTGTGGGTCTGATCCCCGGTCAAGGCATATACAACAATTAACCAGTGAATGCGTAAACAAGTAGAACAACAAAAAAATGCTTTTCTTAAGTCAATAAATAAAAAAATTTTTTTTTTAAAGATCCAAGTGTTAAATCTGGGTGAGCATTGTGCAGAACAGCAACAATAGGTTTAAGGCATCTAGATGAGAAGATCCCTATGCTGAATGAATCTGTCAGGAGCAGAGAACCAGAGCTGACCAGAAGGAGACAAACCCTCTGGGAATGTGCAGAAATCTTGGGGAGGACATTGTCCCTTCCATAATTCATGAACCTGAGAATACAAGCAATTCTACTTACATCTTAAGAAACAGGGTGTTGCCGAAACTGGTTTGACTCAGCGGTAGAGCATCAGTCTGCGGACTGAAAGGTCCCGGGTTCGATTCCGGCCAAGGGTATGTACATTGGTTGCAGGCACATCCCCAGTAGGGGGTGTGCAAAAGACAGCTGGTCAATGTTTCTCTCTCATTGACGTTTCTAGCTCTCTATCTCTCTCCCTTCCTCTCTGTAAAAAATCAATAAAATATATTAAAAAAAAAAAAACAGGGAGTCTCTTTGGAATCTAATCTCATTATTAATCAAATGGTATGAATTCTCAGGCACTTGATAAAGAATGTTGAATTGCTTCATGACAAAAAGTTCAAGTAGATATTCAGGGTTTTTCCATTTTAAATTGTCAGTTATATTAAATACCAAAAAAAGGAAACCATTAAACAAGTTTTGAAAATAAAAAATATACAAGCAGACACAGTTACTAAATTGTAGTGCTTATTGAGGATGGCTATTCTTTTTTAAAAATAATAATAATAATAATGATTTCGGAGAGGAAAGGAGACGGAGAGAGAAATAGAAACATCAATGATTAGAGAGAATCATCAACTGGCTGCCTCCCGCACACCCCATACTGGAGATCAAAGGCAACCCAGGCATATGCCCTCACCAGGAATTGAACAGTGACTTGGTTCATAGGTCGATGCTCAACCGCTGAGCCACGCCATCTGGCAATGACTTTGTCCTAAGCAATTTTATGTTTAAATTTGAAACTCCCTGACTCAGTATTAATTTTTTAAATCTTTACAGTTGACCTTCAGTCCTGAGGAATTCAGGACGGCTGGTCACCCTTCTAAGCAGGGAAGGGGGTCATCCATCCCAGACCTAGACTTGGAGAAGGATGCATATCTACATGTGTCCTCCTTAGGGTTATGTTTTACGTTGACAAGCAGAAGCTGAAACAGAGTCTTTGTGTAAGTGGTTTATTGCTGATGTGCTTTCAGGAAGGGCAGTGAGGGAAGCAGGATAAAGCAGAGGAAAAACGCTAAGCAAAAATGTGGTGTTAGATGAAGGTTGACTTCAGTTTGATTCCACAAGAAGCTCTGGAACAGGAACTGAAGCAGAATTGGTTCCTCCTTGAGGTAACGGAGAACCTCACAATAAGGGCAATTCTTTTCTAGAGCAGGTCTCAATCAGAATGCATCAGAAGCACCTGGGGGAATGGTAAAAGCAGACTCCTGGGCCAACCCCGAGTTTCTGACTCAGTGGGCTGAAGTAGAGGACAGATGTTCCAGATGTTGCTGATTCTGCAGGGACCACACTTTGAGAACCACTGTTCTAGAGACAGGACAGCCATGAGGCTTTAGCAACCAAATACAGCAGCTGAGTGGCATCTACTACAGATACTAACTTGGCATCTTCCTCATCATGAAGGCACACACCTGGGCCAGAGGATTGGCCCCTTGGCTGAAGCTGGGTAAACCCTGTTTTTAGGTCAGACTATCTAGATTCATATCCTGTTACATTCCTGTTGATATCCCGCATTGCCAGCCAAACCATTTTTGAAACATTCCAATTCGGCCTTGCTATCGGACCTCAAGGGAAGAGTCTGCAGGTACATGAGGTTTTAAAGAGAGAAAAGCTGCTGCACTTCACTAGGCCAAGTACAGTGGAGTCCGTTGCAATGAGTGGAATGTCTTCAAGGTGGGACATACATATTTGGGGGCAAGCTTTGCAGACCACCTTGGAAGTTGTTTTATTTTTTTGAAATTAAAGATGATTTTTGAAGGCAACGTTTCATTTCACAAGCCCCGCTAGAGCCCATCACGAACAGCCACCGCCCCCTGAGCATCACCACCAGGTGAATCGGAACGTATAGAAATATTCGTGGGCACCCGTCTTAGGCTGAAACGTCTTCTTGGAGCAGTAGTCATAGGCTACCTGGTACCCCTGAGCCTCGATGTCCATCTGCACGGAGTCCAAGAGGTCCCTGATGGCCGGGGCCGCATTCCAGGGCCCGAATTTGACGACCAGCCGCTTGTTGGCTTCCAGGACCCGCAGGGAGTCCGCGCAGTGCGCCGCGTCCTCCTCCGTGCGCGCCGCGCACACCAGCACGTGGGAGTGACGCGCGGCCACGGCCTCCGCGCGCGCCAGGCGCACCATGAGCTCCAGGTTCTCGCCGTAGCTGGGCACCCGCAGCAGGAACTGCTTCCGAGCCACCTGCTCGCCAAAGATCTGCGGCGTGTCCTCCAGCAGCTTGACTAAGGGCGTGATTTCGAAGAACTGAGCCTCGCGGTACACCTCGGGGATGTGCTGCTTGGGCACCTGCCCGCTGCGCAGGTAGTCCAGGATGGGTCCGAAATAGGTGCCGGGGCGGTCGATGAAGAATCGGCCCTCCCCATCCTCCTCCGTGGAGGCCTTGGCTGAGGTGCAGAACATATCTGCCAGCCTCGAACCCGGGATTTTTCTCAGGGTGCTCACAGTAGTGGTGAAGATCTCGCCGCCCACGTTCAGCTTCACCACAGCAGATGTCTGGGGGTACAAGAGGCAGTGAATCAGTAGCGCCACCTCTAGGGGAGCTCACGACTATGTTTTCATACAAAGAAGAGTCCCATAGACTCGGCGTAGGGAATTGGCTTCAGTTATTGGAAGGCACATCTGTTAACTGAGCGGGACCTATAAACCCGTCAAACGTAAACAATATCGGGAACGGGTAGGATGTATGAATACGTCCTTGAAATATATGTTGCGCCCCGAGAGGGACGGTATATATTTTTTGTAATCTTTTTAAAAAATATTTTATTGATTTTTTACAGAGAGGAAGGAAAGGGGAGGGATAGAGAGTTAGAAATATCGATGAGATGAGAGAGAAACATCGATCAGCTGCCTCTTGCACACCCCCCACTGGGGATGTGCCGGCAACCAAGGTACATGCCCTTGACCGGAATCGAACCCTGGACCTTTAGGTCCGAAGGCCGACGCACTGAGCCAAACCGATTTCGGCTATTTTTTGTAATCTTTATTATTGTTTGTAAAATTTATAATTTATAATTTGTAATCTTTATTATTGTTTGTAAAATTTATAATTTTTTAATTCGACGTGTCCATTTTTTGTCGGTATTCTTTTCTATTTTTTTGTAATTTTGTATTTTCCTTTGTGCTTTATATATATAAATAAACGGGAAAAAATATATATATATTTCATTTATTTTCATTAAGTATAAATAAAAAAATAATATGAAATTATGTCCTCCAGGCGTGATGTACTGACACGTCCTAGTGAAAGAGTACGCACCCGTTACAGGTTGCGTCATTAAAAAGGGAACTCCCTGGTTAACAGGTTAACACAAGGGGTTTATACTTATGCTGCAAAGCTCCAGAGAATGGGCATTTTAAATAAGACAAAGGTTTCAGTTTGATCTAAGACTACCCATGCAAGCATTTCAACTTTCTCATTTGGATCACAGAATGTTAGTCTAGGAGGCTGCGGTGGAAACACATTACTTCCAAAGTCCGTGGTCTTTGGCAAGGCTTTTTTCCTTCTTGGTTCTTAGTGTCCTCATTTATAAAATGGGGATAGGAAGCTGATGTCAAGTCAGGAGTTCCCGATGTGGGATGCTTAGGTCTAAGGCATATAAACAAACAAAACAAAACAAAACAAAACAAAAGGCAGGATGTGGGGTGGGGGGTGCAAACCATTTCCAACTTTTCAGAAAGGACAAGAAACCATACATGCATTCATCCAGGAAGCATTTCTTGAGTACCTACTGTGTGCCCACATGCTGTGCTGGGAGTTGGGGATAAAGATTCTTATTTCATATAGATCAGAAGTTCTGATTAGCAGTTGACATGACTTTAATTAACAAGTAGAACTTGTTTGATAATGGGTTGTTGTTTTTTTTGTTGTTGTTGTTTGTTTGTTTCATTTTGTTTTTCAAGATATGGGCCCATAGGGATTAAATAACAGAAAAACCCTGGGTAGTGAAAAGGCTAGTAACAGCAGATACACTGAGTATAAGGCTGTAAGGTTGGTACAAATTTAAGTTAGGTTTACCTGTTCAACAGACTATGGAGGGGCCTCCTCTCTATGTAAGACCTTGGGCTGAGCACTACAGATGTCGGTGAGACCCACGCAGTGCCTGCCTGAGTGCCCACAGCCCGTTGCAGAGAGAGACGTGGAAACAGACTGACAGGCTGCCTTCGGGGAATACTAAGTGCTGCTGCACAGGCCCAGCAGAAGACTGTATAGAATTATTATATGTGAGGTGATGTATCAGCTGTTGTCCTTACAAACTAGCTTCTGGAATAACTTGTTACCTAAAATTCACTCAAAAAAAATTCACTCACTCATTCAATAAAATATGCATGTGCCTAACTTTGTGCCAGATACCTGGGGCATAGGGAGGAACAAGCAGAAAGCAGTCCCATTCCTCAGAGTTCAGTGACTGTGCAAAGCACGCTGCAAACAAGCTCTAACTCAATTCTCATAGCTATCCTGTGAAGAATGTATTAACTCCCCATTTTACAGGTAAAGAAACTAAGGCTTAAAGAGATGAAGTAAGTTGCTTAAGAGCAACCATATATTAAGGGATGGTGTCAGCATTTGAACTCAGGTCCGACTTACTCTGAAGCTTGTGCTCTTAGTTATTATATAAGTTTTCCAATGCCTCCAGCCTTCTTTTCCTTAATTACCCATTCATTAAAAAAAAAAAAAAAAAAAAAAAAGCCAAAACCGGTTTGGCTCAGTGGTAGAGCGTCGGTCTGCGGACTGAAAGGTCCCGGGTTCGATTCAGGTCAAGGGCATGTACATTAGTTGCAAGCACATCCCCAGTAGGATCGCTGTCTCTCTCTCATCGATGTTTCTAACTTTCTATCCCTCTCTCTTCCTCTCTGTAAAAAAATCAATAAAATATATATTTAAAAAAAAAATGTAGAGATGACCCATTCCATTGAAGCCCCTCCTAAACAGATGGATACGGCATAATCCCTGCCCTCAAGGAGCTATAGGGGAGAGAGGGAAACAGATGACTTAGCTGTGTAGAAAGGAAGACTCAAAGGCAGGCAGAGCCGGCTTCTTGTGGGTGTGTGTTGGAGGTTGTCAGGGAAGGTTTCCTAAGGATTGCTGCTGCAGAGAAGACCTGTGCAGTGTTTGAAGGCTGAGTTACCAACTTAGGGAACTCTAACCCCTGGTCATTGCAGAACCAGAGCTCAGGAATGTCCTTCTGATTTAGGTGTGACCTTGGTTCTCAATTTATCTGTGAGCTTTAGCTCTAAGATGAAAACACTGGGATTAAGAGAGCCAGAGACAGCCAAACTGCTAGGGGAGATTTCAGTTGCCATGACAACAGCTCCTACCAGCGGACAGTTCTACTGGCTGGAAGGGAGAGGAAAAAGAAGAGGATGCCCTCTGACAGCAGCCAAGCAATACAGCCATGAGAAAAACAAGGCCAGAACCTGTGACTCCCTCTTTCTTCCACAAACCTCAAGGTCCTTGGCAAGGTTTTTCGGTGAACCCCGAGGTCCCGCTGGACAGCTGGTAGTTAAATGCAAAGTCACAGACTTTAAAACTCTCATCACTCCTGCACCACTGAAAGCTTACCGGTGCTCTTAATGTCCCCACATTACAGGCGAGGAAAGCTCAGAAAGAAGGGTCACACGGAAGTGATGAAAGAAGGAAGTGATGAAGTTGGAGCTGCACTAATCCCTGTCAGTCTGACTACAGTGTAACAGGGATGCCCTATCTCTCCTCCTCCCAACATCCAGCCCCACTGTGCCAATGATTAGCGAGGTGCCTGGGGCAGCCCACTGCCTTCTCTGGGCCTAAACGTGTTGTCTGTGAAAGAGAGAGGCAAAACAGATGAAGGGAATGCTAAGTCTCTCCAGCTCTGAAAATCTAATGAATCCACTCTCCTCAACTGTCATTTCTGAAGCTCATTTTCAGATGCTTCACAAAATAGCTCCCTGCCCTGACATCCTCAGCCCCCATTTATTTATTTATCAAATAAGACCTACCTCCTGTTCCCAAGCTTCTTAATTCGGTCCCTCTCCCCCTCCTTTTTAACAAACACTTCCAGGCTCTTTGGAAACCCCAGACCTCCAACCTCATCCATAAGCACTACAGTGTGCGTACCTAGCAGATAAAGACTGCTTTTCCACCCTTCTTCTGAACCATCTGACCTTCCTTGTGGCATCTCTTCCCCCACCTTTTCTAAAAGTCACCCTGCCACAGCATTCCTGAGTGGGAGAGCCTGTCCTTGGCCCGTGTGCATGGGCAGGGCACAGATGGTCTCTAGGAGCCCCTACTGGGGGCGAGGCTAGTACTGCCCATGAGGACAGCGAGATGAATCAAACATGCCAGCTCTCACTCAGTTCTAGTCAAAAGGGTCCTTAACACCTCTGCAACCCCCCACCAAACATCATACAGTTTCTTAGGCCACCCTTATTGGAGCCAGTGAAGGGACATCTCCATTCTCATACACCCCAAACCCCTCAAGATCTCCCCGCAACCCACAACCCTGACCTTTTCTATTGTTTCCTATCTCAGTTGTCAGGCGGTAATCTTACATTCTGCTCCTAATCTTAACCCTTTCCCCGCCTCAAACACACAAATAGTCAGTGACCAAATCCTGGTGATTCTAAATGGTCAGTTCCATGGCACCCTGCCCCCCTCAAATACCCTTCCCCAACCCAATCTCTACTCTGAAAACAGAGTAGTCTTTCTTAAGGGCAAATCTGGTCTGTCTCCTCCTGCATTGAACATTTCCATGACCCTACATTCCCTTCCCGATAAACTCTAGACTCCTTCACGAGGCTTTCTAGGCCCTTGGCAGGGCTGGCAATAGGCCACCCACCGGAACTGCTTGCCACTTCCCCACCCCCGCCCGACCAGAGCAAGCTGGGCCCGCTTGCCAGCAGGATTCACTCATTACCTACACTCCCTTCACTCAGTCCACTCATCCTTCAAGCAATTCCTCCAGGAATCTTTCTAGATGGGCTGTCTTCTTGTGATCCCAGAGGGCTCTGCACTTCCACAGTCTGGTAATTACCTATCTTGTCATTCCCTTTATCATCTGTATTCCCATTACACTGTGAGGTTCCTAATGGAAGACAATCCCTGATTCATCTTTCTAGCACCAGTACCTACTCCAGGGCTCCCCCGGGCTGGGGATGTTCTATAAATGTCTGTTGAACAGAAGGGAGCTAACCTGCAGCACTGATTTATTCTGATCAAGGCCAGTGTTGCCCTGCCTGGCATCAGGCACATGCTGGCTCCATCCCCTGTCTGGTAATTCATTCAGACGTTTACTGAGCACCTCGGGCAGCCCTGCCACCGAGCAGGTGACTTTGTCAACGGCCAGCAACAATGACGTTAACATCACCAGATGGGGAAGAGCCAGTCTCCCCACTCCTGGATCTGCTTTCCCTTCCCATAAATCTCCAGATGAGAGTGTGTGTGTGTGTGTGTGTGTGTGTGTGTGTGTGTGTGTGTATGTGTATGTGTGTGTGTGGGGGGTGCTTTGGTAGTGAGGGAAGGAAACACTGTCAGCCTGTGGCTGGGTCTGCTTCTCCCACCAGCAGGAGGGTTGGGGACAGGGGAAAGGGGGAGACAGCCGAGGAGCAGTGGAGTAGGACCAGCCAGGGACAGAGAGAGGACACACAAAAAGCAGGTAAGACAAAGAGAAGAGACGGAGGAGACCAAGCAAGGCAGCCAAGCAGGAAAGAGGGCAAAGAGGAGAGCCTGACTGAGCCAGATGGGATGGAGACCGCGGTGGGGGGCAGAGGAGGGGAAGAAAAGCGGGAGGAAGTCAGGAGAAAAGAGAGTCCAACCAGAGGAGGAGGTGGCGTTCCAGAAGCCGGGGAGCGCAGACGGCGCGGGGGTGTGGACGGGGACCCCAGAAGGAGTGAAAGAAGGGACAGCCCACCTCGGGCTGAGCACTCACGTTAGGCGGGGCCGCGGGAGGCGCTCGGGGGGGCCGCGGGGAGCGGGACGTGGAGGTCAGGCTCATTATCCCGGCTTTGCAAGCAGCTGGCAATGCGCAGCCGGGCAACTGGCCCTGCCCCGCACCTGCGAGGCACCTGTCGGTGGCGGAAATGCACCGGCTCCCCGCCCGGGGGTGGGGGAGGCTGGCCCCAAGGTGTGGTTAGAGCCCCGGGTAGGCCTGGCCTCGGGCCTGGCTTGGCGTGAGACCTTAGGTTTGTCATTGCCCGGTCTCTCACCGACAGCCAAATGGGGGCGGCAGAGGGAACTGACATGGAAAGCAGGAGACCTACCCTGACCGGTTTGGCTCAGTAAATAGAGGGTTGGCCTGAGGACTGGAAGATCCCAGGTTCGATTCCGGTCAAGGGCATGTATCTTGGTTGCAGGCACATTCCCAGTAGGGGGTGCACAGGGGGCAGCTGATGGATGTTTCTAATCGATGTCTCTAACTCTCTATCCCTTTCCCTTCCTCTCTGTAAAAAAAAAAAAAAAAAAAAAAAAAAAAAAAAAAAAAAAAAAAAAAAAAAAAAAATTACATATATATATATATATATATATATATATATATATATATATATATATGAAAGCAGGAGATCTTCTACTCTCATCCCCTAGATCTACAGTTCTAGGGGATGAAGGACCACCAACACCCATTTTACAGATGAGAAGAGTGAGGCTCCAGGAGATAGAGTGGCCAATGGAGACTATTTATCCACCTGAGACCAGCTGCTAAAAGTACAAACATGACCTTGGAAGAAAAGAACTAAGCTGCCTGCTGAGCGGGGTATGTTGCTTGCTAAAACTGTGAAAATTACTAAAGGAAGCCTCAACTAAACTGGAGTCCCTACCACCTGTAGGGGGAGCTCTCAAGCTTTAATATTCATGATCAATTACTCCCAAACAGGGAGGCATGGATACCTTGAGTCTCCAATTGGAAGATGTTTTCTATTTTATTGGCCCAGTAAGAGGAAGGAAGGTTTTCTCCTTGCCTGGCAATAGCTCAGCCAATGAGAGTCTGTCACAACTTAGCCAATGAAAAGCCATTACGTTCTGCACTCCCAGTTTCTTCCAATGGACTCCTTATAACAGCCCTCGTAACCGGTCCCTTTCCTCTATAAACTGTGCCACTCGAAGGTGAAAGCTGTGGAAACTTACCTGTCTCATTCTGGGCGGGAAACAATCTTCCCTGAAAATGTCTGGCTATAGGCTAGAGTTCAAATAGGTCTGGAGGCAAAATATCCACTTTTTTTTTCATGGTCAAAATTAGCAACAAGCCCTGGCTGGTTTGGCTCAGTGAATAGAGCCTTGGCCTGCAGACTGGGGGATCCCGAGTTAGATTCGGATTCCGTTCTGGGGCACAGGCCTGGGTTTTGGGCTGGGGGTGGGGGGGGGCAGAGAGGAAGAGGAGGGAACGTGCTGGAGGCAGCTGATTGGGAATTTTCTTTCATCACTGATGGTTTTTTTCTCTCTCTCCCTCTTCCTTTCTCTATGAAATCAACAAAAGTATATTTTAAAGAATTTTTAAATTTAAAATGGACCTGGGTTGGTAGTGCCCTCAGATGCCTGACAAAGAAAATAAAGACCCTTCCTGTAGGAAAGAGCACAGAGTCCACACCCAGTCCAATAAACTCAAGCTCACAATCTAAAGTCACAAACCACAAAAGGACACAAGGTACCATGAGCAAGAGTCAACAGATCCACACCACCTCAGATTACTGGATATAGAATGTATGTTTAATGTGTTTAATGTGCTTAAATAAACACAAGTGTGTATTTAAGACATGAGTGAAGAGCAAAAAGATATAAGAAACAACCAGTCAGATTTGAAAAAAAGCCAAATAGAACCTCTAGAAATGAAAAATAAAATAGCTGAAATGAAATTTTACTAAAACTTAGGGGTTGAGAACATGCAATCAAGGGAACAATGCTGTGCTCTTTTTCATAATTTTGGCAAATATTGCTAATAATACGCCAGATGTGAGTAAGGATGAAGGAAAACAGCTCCTCAAATGTAGTTGAGTGGAATGTGAACTGATGTTGTTGTTTTTTTGTTTGTTGTTTTTAAGTATTATGGCAATATCTACTAAAATAAAACCCAGCACAGACATCATTTGACTCAATATTTTTATTTTTGAGAATTTATCTAATAGAAATAAAAGCACTACCCTGAAAGGATATATATGAACATATATGTTTATTACTGTTTTGTTTGTGGTGGCAGAATTGGAAACAAAGGGGTATGGTTGAATGAACCAGGATTTGTTTGGAATACTGTGTAACTATTTACCAGTAAAAGAATGAAGTATATCCTATATCTATTCATTCAACCATGATTTATTATGCAGTTAAAAATAAATATTGGCCCTCACCAGTTTGGCTCAGTGAATAGAGCATCAGCCCATGGACTGAAGGTTCCAGATTTGATTCTAGTCAAGGGCATGTACCTTGGTTGTAGCTTCAATCCTCAGTAGGGGTTGTGCGGGAGGCAGCTGGTCAATGTTTCTCTCTCATCGATGTTTCTGACTCTCCCTTCCTCTCTGTAAAAGTCAATAAAATATATTTTAATTTTTTAAAAAATAAATGAATAAATATTGGAGCTCTCTAAATTCTGACCTAATTTACGGTGACATGGGACCCATTATGGTGCCTCCCTTGTGAAAACAGTGAAGAAAATTGAGTCAGCCAGCACAGCAAGTACACTTGCTCCTTCTATGGCAAACCTAAGATGAAGAGATGAGCTGTGGGATCTGGCATTGTGGTTCCTGCTTGAAAATAGTAGCCGGTGATGACCTACAGCACCACTTCTGCTGTCACAATAAAGTCAGCCATCAGAAGACTGAAGTAATTAAAACACCAGTAGAAGCTCCACAATTTGAAACATTGCTAGCCTATAATGAAGGGGTTAATTTACATAACAATAAATAAATTAATAAACGTCAGTGTATACAGTGGAAATCCATTTGTGTAAAAACACAAACATAACAAACGTCTTCTATAAATTTCTATCTAATTTATGTGAGTAGCCGAAACCGGTTTGGCTCAGTGGTAGATCATTGGTCTGCGGACTGAGGAGTCCCAGGTTCGATTCCAGTCAAGGGCATGTACATTGGTTGCTGGCACATCCCCGGTGGGGGGTGTGCAGGAGGCAGCTGGTTCATGTTTCTCTCTCATCGACATTTCTAACTCTCTCCCAGCCTCTCTGTAAAAAATCAATAAAATATATATTTTTTAAAAAGAATAATTTATGTGAGCAAATAATCAGAAAGGTGTAGAATGATACACACTGGGTGACACTACTGGTTATTCAGTAGGGTCAGTGTTGAAATAGAGAGGGACAGTTATTGATTTTCCCCCCCATAATAATATATCTTTGTATTATGTCTCTAGTTTCAGTGAACATGAAAACTTATAAAAGAGGAAAAGAAAAGGCAGTGTCATAAGACAAGCACAAGTTGTTTCTGGAGGAAGTCAGCTTTTTAATTTGGGGAATCAGGGAAGGCTTCGCGGAAAAGGTGGCATGGAAGAGGTGGCAAGCTGGGTATTGAAGGAGGGAGAGGTTCGTTGAGAGAGGTTTGTAGGGGATTCTTCCCAGCATGGGAGTCAGCTGTGCCAAGTGAAGGAGGAAAATGGAAGGGAAATAATTATGTGTTGAGCTCAGATATTTCTATCAACCCTTCCAAACAGATTTACTAACAGTTGAGGAAACTGAGGCACAAAGCAGTTAAGTGAATGAATGACGTAAAGGCCACACAGATGGTAACTGGCAGCATCGAGCTCAGACTCCATCTCTTTTTCACTCCAAAATTCTCATTCTGCAACTATGAATAATTGTTTTATATCTGGGTGCTATGGTCTGAACGTTTGTGACCCTCTGAAATTCATATTTTGAAACCTAATGCCCAATGTGATAGTCTTAGAAGGCAGGGCCTTTGGAAGGTCATGAGGGTGCAGCCCTCATGAATATGATTAGTGCTCTCATAAAAGAGACCCCAGAGAGTTCCCTAGCTCCTTCTTCCACCATATGAAGACACAGCAAGAAGATAGTCATCCATGAACCAAGAAATGGGCTCTCACCAGACACCAAATTTACCAGCGTTATCATCTTGGACTTCCAGCTTCCAGATTTGTGAAAAAGAAATGTTCGTTGTTTAGCCACCATCCAGTTCATGGGATTTCTGTAACAGCAGCCCAAAGGGACAAAAATGCTGGACAAAGTATGTGATTTGAACATTATGACTCTGCAAATGGGACCGAGTGATGGGGAGGCAGCTGTGATCTCCTCAGGGCTGGCTTCGCCGCCTGCTGTGCCAGGGCTGGGGAGCCTCCCACAGGCTCCGCACAGCCCACCTGCCCACTTCCTCTTACGTGCAGTCCCATCTTCCCAGGGGGCTGATGGGCTGCATGAGTCAGGATGTTTCCACAGGGGGGCTGAGTTCTGAAGTGTCATCACCCCGGAAAGGAAGGCTGGACCCTCGGAGGAACAGTGGGCTCTTCTGACTGTACCAAGCAGCCTGGGCTTGTGTGCTATTTTCTGTTTCTCCTCCAGCCCCAGCTGCCCTGAGACACGACCTGCACCCCCATGCCGCTCTGCCTTTGTTTATGCTGTTCCTTCGGCCAGAATGCCTTTTCCCGCCAGCTCATGCTCTCTGGAAAGCTCCTACATAGCTTTCAAGGGCCAACTCAAATGATCCTCCTCTTCCTTTGATAGCCTTTAGGGCAATTATTTGAAACCCCCTCCCTCACCCCCATTCAAAATAGGAACTAGCACCTCCATTTTATGTGTGAGGACCCCCTTCAGCACTGGGAAAACAAAGACCAGGGTTCTAGTTCTGGTTCTGCCATTCGGGTATCACCTTTGGTAAGTCTCCACTCAGTTCTCCACTCATCCCCTGGTGGGGATTGGGATGTTGTCTGAGATGCTCTCTGCAATTCTGTCTTGCTTGAAGCTATGGCAACAAAAGAATTCAGACAGCTCTTTGGTGTTGCCTCTGACTGGCTCTTGTTTCCCTTTGGCCCGATTCCAAGAGC